TAAGTACATGTATACATGTACATTGCATGTACATGTACATGTTGACTAAAGTAAATGAGAATAGATGCGTTTTCTATAGTATTTGTCGGTCATAAGACCTGTAAGGAGGTGTTCTTAATGTTAAAGTTTCCATGTTAAAATTTGAAGCGTGTCATCTCCTCACCCGCTCAGCCCCCCTTACAGACCTACTCTTATAGTACCCCCTTTATGTCTTTATACTCATAAGAAGAATTGAAGTCTTCCCCTTATATCTGAGTCATAAACCATGGTGTGGTTTTGTAATGTGTAGATAATTTTCAGTACATCCTTTATATTTTCACTTGATGCTGTCCTGTGTAGCTCTGTTTTCTCATTTGTAATTTTTTTGTTGTTGACACAATCTTGTCTTGACCAACATTTTTGAGGCTACGTTAAATCCTGTTACAGTCATTAGCGAAGGTTGGATGGTCACAGTGCACCGTCCATTATAATAATTGAAACGTCTCATCAGCTTAAGTGCGCCACCGCTAAATAAATCTTGCTTGCAATAAAGCAACAGCGAAACTGTGACTTAATGTGTTTGTCGAGTCTTTAAATGAAAATGGATGAGTTATCAGCAGGGTGACCGTTTTAGCCGATTTTCGGCTAACTTTGACAGAATTTTTGTTAAAAAACGAGTTTGACAGAAAATTTGACAGAATGGATTTTTTTGGCAGATTTTGGCAGAATTCTGCAAAAATAGTTATTTGACAGAAAAACAGCAAATTTGAACAAAAAAGTGTACATTTGTTTAAAAAAGCTTCAATCCTTTCAAACAAACCCTTGCATAATGGGACAGGTTGGCTGGTCTAGGTGCTGAGCTTCACTGGGAAACGGACTTCGTCGTGGCGGATCCACGTTTTGCCCGAAATTTACCAATAATTTCACAACATCTTTATGCGTCTAGATTGTTTATTATGTAATTTGAATCTTAATTAAAGGCAATACTACAAATCTGCATGTGATTTTAAGTGTTTATAGTGTATTTCAAGTAATTCTGGGGAATTTGGCAGATTTGTGATAAATCTGACAGATTTTTGATGCACCTTCCGGTCACCTTGGTTATCAGTGTCGCTGATAAAAAAAAGATACATGTAGTATAGCATTGAAAAAGTACAGGTGTTAGTTTTGTTGTATTTTCAAAAAACCTTTGTTATGGTGTTTCACAGATAGTCACGATCATAATCTATGTGCAAAATAGGACCTGGCAGTATGTTGATTGGAACAACTATCAAATCACGCACATTTTTTAATTTTAGCGAACCAGCTCCAAACCAATAGTGAGATCCTACATGCCAACTTCACCCTCTCCCCATCCTCCCCTACCCTCAAGGAGCAGTGCATCAACCACTCACTTCCTGCTTCACTGAAATCACCATCAATTTTTTTCTACATGTATGCCATCCCAAGTGCTATGAGTCCTTCGCCACCTCAGTATATATTAATTTCCTCATTTTCCGTTGCAAGGCGCTTCCCCCTACACCAGTGAGTGTGCGAGGGGAGCAGCTCCCGTTGCTAATGGAACTGCGCTTGTGCTAGTGAGACTCGAGATGTTTGTTACCTCCAAAACCGTGATGTGATACATGGATATGGTCGGAGTGACTTGTCAGATTTACGGCAGGGGGTACTTGTGAGATATGATTCCCATCGATTGTGTCGCTCTGGGGGACGCTGATGTTAGTCAGGATTGTTGTCGCGGTGACGTACCTTCATCAGCACAGTAGTCGTAATTTGGTGTTTGTTTCCAGAGTGGCAGGCAGCTGTTTTAAGCACTGTGCAGCTGAGGCAATCAATGATTGTTGAAGATCAATGTACCAGTGTTGGGACATTGTTAAAGTCAGCGGGTTATTAGTAAGTACCATCTTCTTCAGGGAATGGCACGCCGACTTGGAAATTTCTCATTAGCTGTGATGAGGTTAACAGTGGTGTTGAGCTGCGGATTTGCTGAACTCTTCCTCAATTTTTCATTCTTTCTATGTGTCTGAAATGGACTGCGGTGCATCCCACTTCTGCCACCGTTTTAGGAAGGAACCACAGAGTTGTGGCACTGCTCTGAGAATGTAGAGTGCTGGAGGGCTGCAGAACATGTAATACACAGTCAATTTGTGGTTTTCAGATGCATTGCGTATCAGAACCATCGCATAAATTGGTAGCTGCATGTACATGGAAAAATTATATTTAGTGTTGGGCCTTGTGTAACCTGCTAGATATTTCAGTGACAGTCTTGTGCCAGCTTGAGATAAGTCAAAAGTTTACCAATCCGGGACAATGACCAGTAAATCGCCAGCCTCCACCGTCATAGACGACATTTTGGATTCCATCTTCAGTTACCCTCCAAAGCGAACTCATCCGGGTCCCATGGATGAAGATGGCAGTAAAGACGAGCTCAACAGCCAGCAAGAGTTTGTGGACAAACTCAGATGCATCAGTCTTGGCAGTCAGCCGTCAAGCAAGGAGCAAGGGTCACCGGACTGCCGCCTGCCTGGTAGAGGAGTGCATCAATGGTGCAGCAATGGGAAAGGAAGGTACTGGGTACCATACACTGATGTCAGCATCCACGTAGAGCTACACTGAGTTATGGTTTCAAATAAGGACTTTTGATGTGTTAAACCTGTGAGGTTTTTGATTCAAATTCTCAGAAAGCGCAGCTAGCATAACATGACATGTTTGATATCACTGATTTGCAAAAACCCAATCTTAAAATCTGATAAAAGTATCCATTGAAGGTTTATGTTAAACCAAGTGGTGTTTGGAATTTTTAGCTTTCTGGATGTCAGTTTTTTCAGAGAACTGTTGCCTATGTCAAGAGAATTGAAGTAATTAGGTCAACACAAAAAAACTGTGTTTCATATTACATTGGGGAAGAAATGGGTACATGTAGGTAGGGTGCAATTTTTGTAATATTTAATTTTTTTTCCTCGAAATATTAAGAGCAAACACATACAGGTAGATTCAAGATTTTTTCATTGATTTCATAACAAAAGGCCATAATATTAATTGAAATAAAACTCACTCTCTCATCAACGAATATGTTGCTGTTTACTGCAGAGCAAAAGGGGTTTTCCAAACTTAATTGTTTTCTTCTTTTAGAAATATATACATGTAACGTAATCAACTATTGCACTACTATTATTAATTTTTATCAGTGACGAATGATATTGTTCCAACAACTTAGGCCTATAGATAACCAGAAGAAAAAAAGAGCCGGCATGCAACACGTTTTATATTAATATTATTTTTAGTTGACTCGGCTTCTTTAACAAGAAAACTGCTCATTTTTAGAATAAATGAAACTAAATTTTCTTGCATTAAAATGATTTTTCTGGTTTGGTGATAAAAGTGAACAAGAATAAATACAAAATTTGCGCTAATATGCAGCATTTTTTTTAAAAGAAATATCACTTGCTGTCAAGTCAATTTCTCAAAAGAATATTTTTTTTATTTGGTAAAAAAAAGACCGAATTTCGTACAGTAGAAAATGATTTTAGCTTTGTGTACATAAATATATAAGCAAAATTTAATTAACTACGGGACACAATACAATAGGGAATTAACATTCTGCCGAATGTATTTTACTTCCTTGGAAACCCTAGAGTATTAATCTACGTGAAAAAAATTATATTATTAGAAAATTATTATTTGTTTTGTATAAGAAAAACCATTACCTTGAGGACATCATACTATAGGAATCATATGACATAGTGCCGAATATGTTTTGCTGCCTTGAAAACTGTAAATTACAAGGGAACCCAGAAAAATTGTTTTGTTTTTTAAGAAAATCCATGCATTTGGAAATTATTTTTTGGCCCTTTATAATCAAAAATAATACCTGCAGGATGTCACACAGCAGGGAATTATATGACATTATGACGTAAAGCCAATATTCTACTGCCTTGAAAACTGTAAATTACCTGGGAACCCTAGAGAATGAATCTACACCATTGAGCCTCGAGCAGTATATCGGCAATTTATGTCATCAACGTTGGAAGGTCAATACCCTGGTTCTGTTCTTTCGCACTTGTTAATTTGTGTTGCTATGACAACTCGGAGCCAACGGAATCAGTTCATTATTGTTTGCACCGGTCTGTCAGTCATCAGTTTGCATAAAGGTGCTAATGTAAAAGTAATAAGGTTTGTGCAGTATATTCTGTTTTTGTTGTACGGGAGTGGGTAAAAAAAAATCGAAACCCAAATGTCGGTACTATTGTTTCAGTGAAGTTATGCATGTAGCACTTTCAAAATCTAGGATATGAAAGCCCAATTCATAAGCTTTCTTTTAGTACAAGAATCATTCAAATCACTCTTGTACTTTTCAAGTTACGGAATTTTAAACACAACCAACTTTTTTATAAAGTTCTGTCCACGGATCACAAAAAAGGTGTGCGTTCTTTCAGCAAAACGAAAACAATACATCCGCATGTGATTTTTTTGACTATTGGAATGGCATAAAAACATGGAGAAACGGTATTTCATCAATGTGCTGTTATTTTGACCGAAACCAATAATGAAGTCATGCACATGGAAAAGTATGACTAACTGCTCGTACAAAACTCACCAGGTGCAAAACCTGGTGGATATGCCACGTTGGTGCTTGTATAGCGCTTAATACCAAAAATCTCAATATTACACCTCCTCATCACAATATTACCCCTGTTCATCAGGCCATGAGATCATTTTTACATGTGGTCTCTACCTTCACAGGTACCCATTTATACTCCTGGATGGAGAGAGGCAATTGTAGTAAAGTTTCTTGCCCAAGAACACCAGTACCGTGTTCCCCATCAGGGTTCGAACCCACGTGCCATGGCACGTGAGTCGAACACCATAACCATTGGATGCAAGGCATTTCAGGCACAATTGCTACCCAAAGGAAGAAAAATACTAATGACATTTTACATTGAAAATTCCTGATTACCGTCCTAGAATAACGTTAATGTTTGAAGTAGTCTGTAATGATTTCTTTGGCTTCTTTTACCCGACAGTACTCATGAGGGTAATTCCAAATGGTTGGATGCACACTTTGATCCAGTGGCCAGTCTCTACACATTCTCATCATGTATGGGTAAGTACAATAGTACAATTGCATTTTTCCTTATTAAATAATGTCTTGTATCAGAAGATTATTTCTTGCAGACATTTAGTTGTCTTGACTTCGATTACGTAACTTATGAGCATATTTTAATGTTTTGGAGGAAAACTTTCCCTCAAATTTTATATTTGGTTCTTTTTTAAAGATCAGTCACTTTAAAGTCTAATGTGGCAAGCGGTGACTAAATTTGAAGATTATATATATTTTAAACAATCTACAACGTCAAACCTACATTTGTAAATAAGGAGAACTTTAGCTGTGAAAATATCAGTGTTGAAAAGGTGCTCCGCCCCCTCTGCTTAGGCCAAAAAAAAAGTCTCCGGTTTCTGGTATGCGGGCGCATCACCGTAGCCATGCGCGTCGGCAAAGTGAAAAGTATTTTTTTTTTAATGTAAGATGATGTCTCAAAACCGCCAAACTCACTGGATTGACTGGAATCCTGCTGCTGCACAATTTTAACATGTTTTGAGATGGGGTTACGATCGAGTATAAGCTTTATGTGGCATCTCTGGACTCCCATATATTTGCACTATATTTAGTCGGGCACCATTTGCAGTCATCAGCCGACATTTGAAGGAAAAAAAACGGTAAAAAAAAAAAAAAAAGCTGCGTCACCGCACCACTTTTGGGGCAAGCTCCATACCAGAAACCGGAGACTTTTTTTTTGGCCTTAGCCAGAAGTCAAACAAAAGCTATCAGGAGCATTTGCTACAAGCCTATTTTGATGACATCAAGGTACGGCTCCCTACAATCAAGTGAATATTTTGTGCCACACTCATAAATGTGCATAGTGCATGCATTACACACATTTCGAATAACTATTTGCTCATGAATTGAAACGATTTAGTTCTATTGTCTGACAGCGCGTCTGGTTTCCAAGACTCAACAAATGAGGAGAGAGGCACAATTTTTACAAAGATGTTCTCCCTGGCAGGATTAATAAAATGTTGGGAAGCTTGAAAATTCAATGACAAAAGATGCTTCTGAGCATCATGTATGTTTAGTGCTGTGGGAAACCAATTTACAGGCCAAGCAGCTTTGATTTTTGTGGGAACGCGAGAGCCGTTGCATGACGTACCAGTAAGCAAACTGGCTATTTCTGCTTGCTGCCTTCAGCGATGCACTTTTCCATTCAGAGCATTCTTGCGCTAGACTTGTACAACCAAAGAGATGCCCCTTTCTTGGTAGCAGGTTTAAAAACGGACAAGTCCCTAATGAAAAAGCCTTTTTATGACGAAGTTTGGTTTCTATTTTTGAAGCCTTTTCTGACATCAATGGAGATGGTGAGAACAAGCTGGTTATCGCAGACCTGGGTACCGGTTCCGCCAACATGAAGCTGAAAGTGTACAAGGGAACCAGTCTCATGAGTGAGAACGCCATCATTGAGCTGCCCACTGGGGTCAGTACGTTCTTCATGGACACCAATGAACCCCGAGTACCAGGCAAGATTTTAAATTCACTGATTTTCATAAATGTTGGTGTTTTTTGGGTGGGAGTGGTTGTCTGACTCTAAAAAATATAGTCACCAGTTTCTAGTTGTGTAGTGTAACTTTAACCACATGCCACACTTACTAGTTTTGTTTATATGTTTATACTTTGTTTATGTTTATGCAAGTCTTCTCGTTTAATTTTTTTTAAAATTCCAACTAAGGATGCAACTTGGCCCAAAAATGTGGTTACCGGTATATACAGGGTGGTTAAAAAAAAACTCAACCTCATATTTCCAATAACCTAGACTATTGATATGTATGGCTAGCAAATTTTGTTAGAAGGAAAATGATACCAAGAACTCCCGAATCGGTGCAGTAGTTTTAATTTCAGCGCCATTTTTGTGAACCAAAGTCGGGGGTTATTTGGTCTTGGATGAATAACACGAACATGACCAGGATTGAAATCCTAATTCATAATCCTAATTAGAGCCCCTGACTTTGGTTCACAAAAATTGCGCTGGATTCAAAACTACTGGACCGAATTTTCCTTCCAACAAAATTTCCTAGCCATACATATCAATGGTTTAGGTCTCTGGATATTGGAAGTATGATGTTGCGGGGTTTTTTGGCCCACCCTGCATACACTTTACCTCAGATAACAAAAAGTTTAAAAGGGAATCAAAAAGAACAATTTTTAAAGCTTAGGCCAAAAAAAAAATAGTTCCGCTTCTGGTTACCTGACTGACGCTATTTTTAGGCAGCGACCCTAAACATTTTATCGGCAAGTCAAAAAAATAATAATGAATGAATAAATAAATTATAAAAATCTTTTTGTCTTTTTTCTCTTCACAAAACACCTCTCAACAACCATTTTGTGTCAAAAATGCTTGTATTTATTTGTTTGCCTACTTACATTCACTATTTTGTAAGAAGAAACCTTCGTTGTTTTTACAAGTTCCCAATTCGATGTCACGGTGACGATAAAAATACATGCGTAATGCTCAATGCAGTGATGACTGGTTCCCGCCGCGCCGCCACAGGGCCACAGAAGGCATGATGGAAATGCGGTAACCAGTCTATGCATGCATGGCCGTGGTGCACTGTTGCAGGTACAGTCGGATTAGACATCGTAAAAATGCCAAGAAAACACCAATGGATGGAGAAAGAACAGTTTTGCAAGTTAATTCACAGAACTTGATCTATTCGTGGCTTTTATCACCGACAGCTATCGCAGTTGCGTCCGGCCCCTACCTGTATGTTTATAAGAACCTGCGGCCCTACTTCAAGTTTACCCTGCCTCCGTTGGATGTGAACCCAGTGGAACAGGACCTGTGGAATCAAGCTAAAGAGGTATGGGGTACACTGTCTTCATTGTATCAGTGGAGGTTTGTGGATTAGAGTAGCCATAAAGTTTTCTTGGTTTCATCGATTTCTACAATGGTGTATGGTCCTGTGGTTTTTATTATTTATTGCACCGCATTGACGACGTGATACAAACCATTATTTTTCTCATAATTCAGGCATGCAACTTTTCCTCGGATCAGCTGATTTCCTCCTTTTGTACTTCCCATGTGTGCCATTACAAATGGAAAAACACTGTACAAAGTCTTGGAAAGATTTGATTTTCCTCTTTTTTATGACTTCCTAGTTGCATGCCTGATAATTATCCCTGTTTGAAACCAAGATTTTTCAATGAGCTGATTTCACTGTCATTTCTATAAATTTGGGGTCTACTTTTTTTCCCTGTCCCTTTTACATCTGACATCTACGGTTTTATAATTCTGATGCATTCCTAAACCCTTTAGACCTTGTACCGCACCAAACCGCCCTGCCTGTTACTCCTCATACCGCCCAAAACTGCCACAGCACCTTATGGTTTCATTGATTTATGGAGGAGTACATACAGTGTAATTCAATTTAATTCAAGTGCTAAAGGGTTAATGTAGTAGACATCCAAAAACAATTAATCTGAAGCAGGTTATTAAGAAACTAGCCTGTTCAATTTTCAGCTCAGTAGATTTTTTTTTTTTTGAGAAAACTGTGAAAATGCATCTTCCTTTTTCTCAACGCAAAGCATAGGTTTCTGTTAAACGAGCGATGGTGTGGTCCTAACAATCACAAGGAAATGATGGTAAATTCTTCTTTATTTGAAAGCAACAGCACACCAGGCGCAATGATTTTCACAGGAGGCTTGATCTATTATTTACTTGCAATCAAGTAGGATGTTTCGTGATATTTTGACAGTCTCATTTTTGAATGTTTGCAAATTGGGTCCATTACCTTTACTTTTCAGTGACATGAAGAGATGAATATACAATCCCACAGGGGTAGATGTTTATAATCGTCTGTGGGGGAGGGGACAGTTGACCAAGTGTCAATCACCTGTCTGCTTTATGATGATTGGTCAATTACTCCCGCCGAGTAACTCAATACACCCACACCACTCCACAGCCTGAATATTGCCTTTTGATGTCATAACAAATGACACGTTTTCAACAAGGATGTTCTATCATTGGTAATAAAATGAAAAGAAGCAATTTCATAAAATCTGTTCATGTCATCGCATAGTTATCTTTTTAGGTTAACTTTGTGATGCGGCAATCATAAGACTCATTTCTGCAGGGAAGTATTCCAGGCCATCACAAGTCCCTTCAAGTCCATCACTAGTCCTCCAGTCCCAATTCAACTCACAAGCTATTCAAATGAGCTTTGACAAAGGCAATTCTTTGTTATTGTTCATCCACTGTTACTTGTGAGTGGACTTGTGATTTACTTGTGACTGGACTTTTGATTTACTTGACTGACTGTTTTTCTGTCTGAGGCCCGACGCACACCTTCCCGATTTTACCGGTTTCCTGGATCATTTCATCACCCGTACGTTTTTTTGTCACCATTGGGGTTAGACCGCCACATTAACTAATTCCATTCTATAATCGGTCACGTGATGATCAGTCAAGCAGGCATGTAACTTTTCCTCGGATCAGCTGATTTCCTCTTTTTTTCACTCCCAATGTGTGCCATTGAAAATAGAAAAACACTGTACAAAGTCTGGGAAAGATTTGAATTTCCTCTTTTTTGTGACATCCCAGTTGCATGCCTGGTCAAGTGATGACCAGTCACATGATGACAACCCCGTGACTTCCTTCATGGATCTGATTGGTTAACATAAAAATTTCGTCCAGTGAAGTCAGATCCGGTGAAAGTGGATGCGAAAAAATCAAACATGTTTGATCTCATCCGGTCTCCCTGGGCCTAGACGGTCAGATCGGTCTGAATTTTCAGCGCACACCTCTGTACGATGGCCCGATGATCTGATGATGCAGCAAAATCGGAAAGGTGTGCGCCGGGCTTTGAATGTAGACTTGTGTCTTAAAACTCCTTTACATTTTCCTTCCATTTGTTTTTCCCCTTTTGGATTGTGGTGCATCCCAGCATGTTTCTTTGGTCTCAATATATTGAAATGTAACCGGTCCTGTTCGTGGGTACAAACCTTAACCCTTACTCTCTGAGGGTAGTTTACTGCATGTCAGTTGGTTATGCCAATGCCCTCCAGCTGCAGTTTATTGGAGGATACTTTGATGTAGCAGTGAAGGCTCTAATTGGCAGGAGTTGGAGGCCCTGGAGGGTGCCTGATACTGACCAGCTGGGGGCACTCACTTTGTTATCAGAGGACTCTCATTGTTCTCTGTGGCATGTATTGGAGTGCCTGTCCAGTTACCCTTGAAATGACATGGCAGATATTGGAGGGCCATGCAAAAAACATAGGAGATTTTCTTGAGGCACAATTGGCATGCGTTGGAGGGTCAAGTAGGGTAAGGGTTAACTTACATACATGTACATACTGTGTACAATGAGCTTATTGGCTACATGTGCAAGTACATGTATAGTGGAGTCCACTAACGTGGCACACTTTGATGTTTCCTCTGACTTTCCTCAGGCAGCATTGCCCAAGCTCCTTGTTGACAAGCTTGAAATTCTTTCATTTAAATGTTGGTACTACGTGTATAACCTTAATTAATAATTCTTGCTACTGACCCTGTGTGAACAATTTTAGGGTAATGAAATTAAGTCGGAAATGCCAAAACGGTGGCATCCGGAAATCGGGCACAAAATCAGCCGAGTGTTCCCTAACGTGGGGCACTTTCCAGGTAAACATTTAGAAATTTCTTTAGAGTTGACAAATTCTGATAAAACCATTATTATCTCCACACACTTTATCAAACTATGTGTTTGTTAGATAATTATTTTCTTATTTTTAGGCGCATTTTTAAAAAGTTCACTGCGCTCTTCAAAATAAAATCGGAAAATTGCGCCAAATTAAATGTGTCCCTTAACTTCGTAATGAGTAGGTAAACTCAAGGTTTATGAACGGAAAGGTTTAGAGCTTGATGAAATTTCACTTGCGGTGAAATTTGAGGTAAAATCTTTGCTCTAGCACTGGAGGCAAAAAATCAAAGTGCGCCAGGTTGAGGGCTGCGCCACATTAGGGAGCATTAACAATAGAGACATCAATGCATCGAAGAAGCATTTCACCTTGACACTGTACTTTTGTTAAATTGTCATCTTCACTTTACTCACTCATGTCAGTGTACTCTAGAGATTCACAATGCGTTTCATCCATCAGTAGATTTTGCCTTTTTGCCGGCATGTTATCTCCCTTGAGGTTTACTAATAGACAACCGTAATTCAGAGTCTTTCTGGTCTTGCACAGGACAAGATTGACGTGACAGTGCTGCGGGAAATGCTGGACAGCATCCGACGCGAAGGAAATGAAGGAGCGCTGACAGTCAGATCTCTGAGGTACGCACAAAACATTGGATGCTTCTGGCCTAATGGAAAGAAGGAATTTGTTAAGTGCAAATCCGCCCCCCTCCCTAAAAAAAACCCATCAGTCCTTGAGTTGATCCATTGGCAATCAGTTTATCAAGGTGCTGTGTGGCTTTCTCACTTCAATGCAGGGAAGGATGGTTTTGACACTGATAACATGTACAAACTAATAATTCATCTGCATGTTTTGTATCTCTATGAGGAAAGCAATTTCCGGTGGACCATGTGTGTAATTTACATTTCACTCTTCATTATTGAGGACAAACAAGCCAGGCAGCCTTTGCACAAAGCTGTGGGGCTTGTGTTTCATCAGTCCATATAGGATATTCTTCAACCCACTTATATTTTATCCAGAATTTAGAGTTCATCTGTTGACATGTTAAAGACTCGTAGGAACATTGGTAGTTATCTTCAAACAAACTTGAATCCTCGATCCTGATTGGTCGATCCATGGCAATAACAGTGTGTTATTATCCCATATACCACGTTCCATACTGTGCTATTCTGAGATGTGTGCGCCATTCCTGCTGCACTCACGTGTTATAGGATAACCGCTGAACAGTTCGTCTACAGCGTGTGTGTTCCATCTTTACTGTGCGTCAAGTTAGCTTGAGAATAAATATGTGATCGGCTCCACAAAAAAAGGGTATTGTGTCGCAAAAAAAGTTAAAATTGAGTATAAAAATATACATGGTGGGAAAGCCCACAATGTAAGGGACCGTGACCATTCAGCCCTGGTATGAAAAGGGCCCCCGGTACCTCGTCTGGTCCAGAGCCAGTCCGGTCTTCAGCCCAGTCTCGTCCGGTACATGGTCCTGTCTGACCAGAAGTTTTGAAGTCAGTCAGGTGCATCAATTTATTGCCCTTCAGAGAACGTCCAGAGCAGAACAATAGCAGACTTACCGGATTAAAGATAAAATCCTTCCATAATGCCTTGGTAATTTACGGTCCCATTGTGCGCGAAACCCCATGGCAGGGGTTTTGATCTGTGCCGACAAAAGTGTTCTATTGTTTCGCGCTGAGAGATGAAACCACAAGCAGGTTTCTTCTGGGATATACATGTGTCAATACTTGCAAACAATAGACCCCAGGATAGAGGAGTTCCTGATTAGCAACAGGACCAGCTCCTGGGCTGGTAGCTGGGACGGTACGAGAGGACTTCTTGGGAGGGGACGAGCTAACCGGGGGGCCCTTTTCATACCGGGGCTGAATGGTCACGGGCCCTAAGCTTTCATTTGGTATATAATAGAGCTCCATAGTCCCTCCCAATCTGGCAATATGACGTATTTGCATATGATGAAAACATGAGAATATGAGAAAACAGGCTTTGAAATAGCTGGCTTTAATGTAGAACAACAGAACGATGCACGCAAAATGGTTGTTTTTTGCACTTTGTTCATCAAAATCATCATTTCTGTGAATCACCCCTGAAACTGTAGGTAATAAAGATGTCATTCATGACAAAAAAATTAAAATCACATTTGGACAAAATTTTTACTCTCTCAATGTTGAGCAGGCCATTGCACGATAATGCTCAGAGCGACTTAATACCCTTTTTTGTGGAGCCGGTCACCGTTTGTTATCCCTATCAGGCCTTTGGAACATTGAAAATGTAGCACATCTGTGTTCCATATTCGGCCCCGTGGCATATGGGACACAGACGCACTACATTATTACATGTTCCACTCGCGCTTGCGGGATAACGCATATTATCCGGTAATGAACCCAGCAATTTAATGAGAAAAACACCTTTTTCAAAATGAAGAAATGACTGATACCAAATACCCCTGTGAAATTATTCCGCCCGAAATGGTAGGCTATCGTTTGTTTGCAGACAATCATTGCCGTTAAATATTATGGACATGCCCCACAACCACAGTACCTTGATGTCGCATACACTGTACCGGCTGAATGAGAATCTTGTCCCAAGTGCATTTTTGGGGTTTGAACACAGGAATAATTGTGTAGGGGTTGACTGAATACCTGTTAATTGTACCTTTGGGAGACATTTTGCTGTCATTAATTAAAGCCTCAGGGAGACACCGGACATTAGGGAGACATTTCAATGTCTCCCTAATGTCACAGCTCCAATTTAGAGGCAAAATTTTACAGTCGCGAATAGGCTAGATCGATTGCTCGTGGTAATAATGTTAAATTGGGGTTAGGACGCATTAAAGATGGAAACATTTTGTGCACAAGTCTATGAGACCCAAATGACACTGCGCAATAGTCGTAGCCTTGTTGCCATTTTGTGATTGGACAATGAACGACGTTCATTTGATGGTGTCTTCGTATCTCCAGTGCAAGTAGCTGCATGTAAGCGCGGTCGCAAGTAGTGCTGCTTATGCACCTGGGATCCGTCCGCACTAGTATACAATACGTTCAGAATCATTTAAGTGACGGTCTGTTTTCATAAATGAACATCATGTAAAGAAAATAAATTTCCAATTTTCCAAATGATCTATGATTACATCGTGAGATCGTTTAGACACACCCCTATAATAAATGCATGAAAGTGAATACGGAATTGGAGTGTTAAGTAATTCTTCCGGTCGCATTATCAGTCCTTTTTAGATATTAGGGAGGTTTTTTTTTTTTTTAATTAAAACAATGATTGAAGAGAAAAGCAGGGATCAATTTAATACGCATAATATGAACATAAAATTAATAAATTTACATTCATAAAATAATTTTTTTAAAGAAAGCATGAATATAGATGAATAATATAAGTTTCTTTTTAAAGAGAGAAGTAATTCTTCCGTTCCCAAAGTTTATGCACAAAATTAATGTCCAACGAATTATTGCAGATAGCTTGCAATGTTCATTTAAATATCGAGATATATACACAGTAGGGTTTTGTGAAATGATTTTTCTTTTCCCCCTTTCTGTATCATTATGTGAACGAAATGTGTCACAAAAAACCTGCAGAATCTGGCCTTTTACGATGAACATGTACATGCGGCGCCCGTACGTGTACGTGTACATGGTACCATACGTACTTGCGTACATGTACTTCAACGTCGTTAATTGACCAATCACAAAATGGCAACAAGGCTACGACTATTGCGCAGTCAAATGACCCGTTTCCCATAATAATAAGTACTTCATGTATTAAAAATTGTACATCAAAGATAGTGCTGCGGCTGATCCGCTGAACCGAACCAAAATTCATCGAACATAGCAGTTCTGAACCAAACTGAACCAGTTCAGTTAATCAGTTCAAACACTGTGTAAAGTGCCACATATTTTGAAAAGCACAATTAAAACAATCAAAACTTGCACCATAAATTTTTACAGTTTACTTTGAATTAAAAGAAAACAATATTTTAGGCTGAAAATTCCAACTTAAAATGAAAGGAAATTCATGTACATGCAGTCATTAAGTGCACGTTCGACGGTAACACAATTTATGTTGCGAGTCGCGCTGTGTGCGTGGTGGATCATGGACTGAGTGATCACACGTACGAAAAATGAGTTTCAATGCTTGGAATAAATACATAAAATTAGAAGAAAAAAAACCATGTGAACAGAAAAGAAAACTTCCAGTTTTATGAAATTACTAGCTGAAATCTTCAGTTTTAGATCATTTCAAAAACATAAGCTTGACAAATTTCACAGTGTGGATGATGTTGCCGAAGTTTAATAGCTGGTTCCCGATCCTTATACTGTTCCAGTTATCATGTTTATTTGGCAGGAACCAGTCAATGTGCTAAGTAAGCTCTTGGAGGCCAAAAACACTTGCTGTTGATGTCAATACAATTTCAGTTTATTGGTACATTTAACACTGATGCCTCATTATAGCCGCCTCCCAGGCCATGGTTCATGTGTACATCTTTATTAGTATGCACCTGTTTTTTTCCCTCAGATATTTGATGTTGCCAGACAAAGAGCAGATGGAGAGCTTTGCTAATCTGCATAAACAGACGACCATCAAAAGACAGGTAGGAAGAATTAGTTAGCCAACTTTAACAAGTTTTGATGTGCAAGTTTTTAAATGTGGCTTTTGCTCATCATTTGTGATGCGATCAAGCTAAATGAGTCGTTTGTTGGGAATTTTTATTTAAAGATACAGGCCAAAATTGGGCCACTTCATCACATCATTTCATCACATCTCTTGGTGTTCCAACTTCCATGATTTTTGAACTAAAGATGATATCAGCATGCGGTTTTCACAGCAGTTATGCTTTTATCAAATCTGTGATTAAAAAAATGTTGACCAGGGTCAACAAACGACTCATGTAGCTTGATCGCATCACATTAAATGTAATCTTATATGCTGTCTACTGTATTAAATAACTGAAAATGTCAGAGGTTGTGAGAAAAAAAAAATCACAATTTTGCCTGGGTGGGACTCGAACCCATGGCCTCCTGCTTACTTGTGCAGTCATCTTAACCACTCGACCATGAAGCTTGCCAGGGTCTGCTGGCTGGTTCAAATCTGACAGAGGAGCAGGGACAGAGATCAATATGTTGTAAGCTGGAATTTTGCATTGGAAGGATGTAATTTTTTAAGATTGTTTTTTTTTTTAAGATTCAAGCATTTGCCGGTCTAGTCTAATCGTTTCAAAATTTGAGTTTCTGTGTCAACTATTGGCTGGTGAAATACTGAGGAGCTCATCTTTGCCTTGCGGAATTGTAGGGAATATTTCATTGAGCAAAGCTGGCCAGGATTTGTTTTGTTCTTGAGGTCATAGTGTGAACCCATATTTTACATGCAAGGCATGAATCAGCTGAGAACCAGTTACAAGAGATGTACATTGCAGGGACAATTCAGCTGGTAACCAGTATTTGCTAAACAAATATTAAGGTGTCTTAAAAAAAAAAATATTTTTTTTTGTAGTGGGGGTTTCAGACAGGTTCGGCAATAATAAAAAGGTTTTGTTTTTATAAGTCATGGGTAGGGAGTTCAAAATAGGGTCTGTCGGAAATGAGAATCAAAGAATAAAAGAGGGAAGCCTTTATTGTCTGCGTGTTGCAAATTTCTAAACTTAATAGTCCCCTGATATTGGCCCCTAAGATCTCTCCTGGTCAAGAACTGACATTTTCCCACATGTTGGCACCGATGTCCATCACAAATCCCCAAGTCCTCAACAATCCATCGCAAGTCCTTCAGTCTCAAGTCAAGTCACAAGTGATTCAAATGAACTGTGGCAAAAATCTTCCTTTGTATTGTACATCCCCTGATGCCTGTGATGGACGTGTGATTTACTTGTGACTAGACTTGTGATGGACTCGACTACAAACAGGTGGGCACTTGTTGATACCTCTTTCTCACTCTCTGATTGGCAGACGGTGATAACCTGCATGGATACCCTCAAGAAGTCCTCCGCTGATGAGGATGCCATCAGTTGCATCGTAGCCGGCACAGAGAGCAAAGAAGTCTACATACTGGACCCTGAAGCATTCACTATTCTTGCAAAGGTATAAGTCAGGGGCACTAGCGCATGTCTGCGCATCTAGAGGGATTCAATAAAAACTAGAGGTTGTATGAACAACCACACGGTGTTGGGCCATGGATTACCGCAGACTTTGCCACACACATCAATTCAAAATATGCATGTTTAAATCCATGTTTGAATTTTTCAACATGCCGCCAGAGGGCGCTCTAACATTTGATGACGTCACCTGTAAAATGTTTGTACAGTACTGCCTAGGCAGACACTCACATCATTGAAAGCAAGTTCGCATCTTCTGCCAATTTCAAATAATAGGGCACTTCCGGTTTTGACCAGAAGGAAGGGTCACGTGATTTTGCACTTAATACCAAAAATGAAGACCCTGCAATATTGTATCGATTGCCATAAAAACAAAATCAAATCTGTAGCAGTTGATTTTATATTGATTTTCAAAGATTAAATCTAGTAATCTTTGATTGCTTGTAATATGATACTTGATGACGTCATTGTGACGTCATTACCAGAAAGTTCAAGAGCTATTTTAACTGTGCTATATACAGCCAAATCTTGATTATATCTATCACGGTTGATTTTTTAGCAATTTTTGAAGGTTTAAAGGTCTTTTTATTGTAACTTCCGGTCTGATGACGTAATCAATTTTTTTTCGCGCACAGGTGTTGTCTGCATTAAGGTCATCACGTACATTAATTTTGAAGCGATTACCGCAAACTTCGCCACAGACATCAAGTGAAAATGCGTTTTTCGCGTTTTTTAACCTGCCGCTAGAGGGCGCTCCAACTCTTCATGACGTCACCAATTATTTTTTTTGAAAGGTCAATCCAGGCAGACATCAACACCGTTGAAAGCAAGTTCATATCTTTTTCCACTTTCAAATTATTAGGCACTTCCGGTTTCGACCGGAAGGAAGGGTCATGTGATTTTACGCGCACAAGATAAAATGAAGATCATATATTATCATGTCGATTCCTGCAAAATTCAAGTTGCGGTCTCTGACGGTTGATTTTATATTGAATTTCAAAGATTAAATTGATTATTTTTTGAAGTGACGTCACGTGACCCATGATGACGTCATGATGACGTAATTGCAAAAAAGCACATCTTCAGTTGGTTGTGCATTCATGGATTGACAATTGAAGTTCATATATGTTTTCATTTTGACAAACAGTTCCGGAGAAGAATGTGTCTTGAAGAATAATAAAAAAAATAGTAAATTCTTACAATAACAATAGGTGTTGGGCTGAGGCCCAACACCTAATGAATTGTGACTCGGACTTGAATCAATTGACTTGAGACTCAGACTCATACTCAGCCCATTTGACTCGAAGTCATCTCCAGTTACTCGACCACAACACTGACTACCTTTGAGGTGTAGGCGTTGGTTCCACAGTGATAAACATGAGTGGACCCTTGTATTCATTGTTAACCCTAACTCCCTAGCATAATTTACTTGGAACCATACCCATCCTGGCAAATTCCAACACCATATATGGGAAACTGCACACACATATTTTTGAATTTGATTCTGGAGGTGCGCCAACCCAATGGGGTACTGTACCCATCCTGACAGATTGCAACAAAACATGCCATTGGGGTTTGATGGGTTAGGGTTAATGAATCAAATTGATAAAAAAACAGAGATGGCTACTATATGCAAAGGGTGTATACCAGGGAAGGCCCACTGACTGGCTTCCAGTCCCTTCATTATCATTCCTACTTAGAATAATACGGAGGTGGGTACCGGTCTACAAAGGCATGGTTTATGCTCGATACATATTACATTCAAATTGATCGTACCCAGCCCACCCATTCGGGCGTTATAGAAAAGAACAAGTTCAGGTGTAAACTATAGTGAACCATAAACTTCGCTCAAATCATGGGTGGTTGGACTACTACAGGGTGTCCTGAAAATAATGGTACATGTAAACCCCGCAATTTTCGCCAATTTACAACCGGAATTTACTACAAATGTTTACACGATCTCCAAGGTTACAGATTTAGCTTGACAATGCCGTTTGTTTAATTAAGATTGCTTTTGTAAATCCAGAGATATGTTTGAATAACCGCAAAGCCAAAAAAACATTCTGTGCCACTTTAAGGAAACGAGTGCTTCAAAGATCAGACAATTCACTCTTTTCACGCTCCGCCATAGGCATGCAGAGCCTCGATCTGGCAAGTTTACACAATAAATATAACCGGTTCAGTGATCTGAACCCCGACACGGGAATCACTGAACCGACTATTTTCATTGTGTAAAGTTGCCAGATCGAGGCTCTGCATGCCCATGGCGGAAGCGTGAAAAGAGCGAATGCCAGTATGGCTTTTTTGATAAGATTATCCCTATGGGTGTAAGACAAACATTCCATTCACACGACAATATAGGGTTTTGTTCTTATGTTGAAACAACTCAATAGTACAGACAGGTTCACTTCTTTAAAACTTCAATGAAGGAGTTCAATTAAATATAAATAAATATTGCACACTCTGCTTAAAAATGTTAAAATCACTAACAATAAAGTGATTTGGTTTTAGACTAGGACTATACTGATTTTAACTGCTTCACAGAAAGTGGCACAAAATGGGTTTCTTGGCTTTGCCGTTATTCAAACATATCTTTGGATTTACAAAAGCAATCTCAATGAAACAAACAGTGTTCTCAAGCTAAATCTATTACCTTGAAGATGGTGTAATCATCCGCAGAAAATTTTGGTTGTAAATTAGCAAAAGGGGTTTACGTGCACCATTTTTTTCAGGACACCCTGTATAGTTGACTATTTGGAACAGATCACAGTGTATCGTTCCATTGCTGGTTACCAATAGCCATACACATCATAAAGCACAACGGGGAGCCAGGACCAAGAAGTTTCATGATGGCGTTTTGACCAGCATTTGACTAGAGGCGTCCACACGTTGCTATTAGTGCGCAGGCGTAAGTTACATCACAAATCAACCACTTGTGGACTAATGGTCCTCGCCCGAACTTGTATGATGACAACAAAAAGGTCCGCATCTCTCCTCTGACCATTGAGGGTGCTACAGACACCTGTTGCTTCGTTATAAGTAGTTTGAGAGACCTTTTCTTATAAACTCATTGAATGAATTGGTTTTTGATTTGCCAGATGTCTTTACCCAGCGTTCCTGTGTTCATGAGCGTGAGTGGTCTTTACGATGTCGAGTTTCGCATCATCATCTCCTGCAGGGATGGCAACATCTATGCCCTCAAAAGGTAATGCGAACTCTACAATGTAATGTTAGTACTTTTCTTATTTTAATTTTAAGAATGAACAAAGACAATTGACTAGAGAAAAGTGAGACAAGATCATGTTTTTTGTGTAAAATTTGATTTTTTTTGTTTAACCCACAGAGGTATGAAGATTGCCAAGCACTGTGTGGAGCTAAACAGTCAGCCCGTCGGTCTGGAAAGAGTCGGCAAGAACATTGTGGTGGGTTGCATGGACCAGACGCTGCAGTGCTACACAATGAAGGTGGGTGTTCATTTGCCAGTGGGGGCAGACTATAAGGGGTTCTGTTCAGTAGTGGTGGGTTGCATAGACCAAACTGTGCCGTGTTTTACAGTGAAGTCGGGTATTCTTTTACCAGTGGGGTGGTGAATTGTTATTTTGCCAGAACTCACCTACTCACCCTCAATGTAAGATCATGGGTATTTTTTACAATAAAAGTTGAAGTATGCGTTTGCGTAATATACAGATACTGATTACTTTATCTCCTTTCATTACAAACACGAAGGTACAGTCAAGTCATCAACCTCCTTTGCCAAAAAAAACGACTTTCTAGTGACATGTAGTGCACAGTCATTCAAATTTGCATTTAATAATAATAATAATAATAACGGAAATTTATACCGCGCCATTATCCGCCATAAATGACGCTCGTGGCGCCATTATCCGCCATAAATGACGCTCATGGCGCAAAAAGTGTCATGGGTGGCTCAGTTTCTATTAAAAGCGCTCGCCTCTCACCACTGTGGCCCAGGTTCAATTCTCGGCCCAGTTCATAATGTGAGTAGAGTTGTTCGTTGATTCTCTCCTATGCCACGAGGGTTTTTCTCCGAGTTTTTCAATTTTCCTCCCTCTGCCAAAAACAAGACTTTCGATCTGGCTGTACTCGGTGGAAGACGGCACCTTTACATGCCTTTAGCTCGACCGTGTTGTAGCTGTGTCCTTTGCAATTCAGCTCCTGCTGCGAGTAAGGATGATCCCCCAAATTTAGATTTACAAGTGGATTGGTCAAAATGTGCTACTAAGTTGCAGCAACTGATTTGCGACTACAATGGATAAATAAATAGAAACCATCTTAGAGTTTGTCATTGTGTTTTCTTACAGGGCAAGAAGCTGTGGACAGTCTACCTGCCATCCAGCATCACCACCATGTCCATCATGGACCACAGACAGAAGGGCTTCAAAGCTGTCATGGTGGCGCTAGATAACTGTGAGGTGCACTTCTACAGAGAGAAGTACCTCATTAACACCATCAAGTGTGGGGTGAGTTTACTTTCACATTGAATCAAAATTGTCTGTCGTGATGTGGTCCAAAGCATTTTGTTAAAGCTATAGTCCATCATTTGCAGCTATCCAAAAAGTAACTGACGTAATTATTGTTGAAAAACGTGCTTGGTTGAAAGATAGTAAGGGAACTAAACTACCTGTGAAATTCTTCTTTCTTGCAAGCTGTCATTTTGAAGAAATCAACGAAAGAAGGCCTTTCCAACGGTGCGTCTTAAGACGCACCATAAGAAATTTCCGTTAGTGGTTCGTTTTTTTTATTCGGCGAAGTGCGTGCAAGCGTTCGCACTACGCTTGCTATAATTCGTCGGATCGGTGCGCGACATCGCATAGCTGCATTCGGCTCAGTGAGAACGTGTCTCGGACGCTGAATTCAGGCCCAATTCAAAACATGATTCAGCAACTTTTGATATGAAATCGGATCCTAGAATGCTGTTTTTCTCGGAATATACAGCTGAAGCTGAGCTGAAACTTCATCAGGTTAGTTGTTCAGCACCCTTCTTCAGATTTTTAGTACGTTTGTTGCTTCAAACGAACAAAATGCACAAGTTACAAATAATGGACTATATCTTTACCTGGGGCAGACTAGTGGCATCCAAGGAGAAGTCAAGTACAGGGTGTATTCACAAAAATTAAACCCAGATAAATGTAAATTATTTCAATTCATTAATTTCAATTCACTTTATTTTCCACATAAAAGAGACAATCAGAGTTAAATGTATACAAAATATGTGGACAGGGATCCCTAAAAAGCAATGCTTGTCGAGTACAGATCCCCAGTTACAATCATACAAAAATATACAAGTTACACACACAAACAACACATAAGGACACCCAGTCGTTTTTTGCTATGCTTCCGAGGATTGGCTTTGTGTTTTCCTTTGTCCCTGTAATATAACACTCTCCCATAGACTAAGCACGCAAACCTGCGTTCGAGGACAATAGGCACCTTCCTTCGAGGATCAATGGCCCCTTTGTGCTCCTTTTGTTGTCTGTCCTCAGGCGTAATGCCATGCAGGAACATAACACCAGACAGGAATATTCGAATAACAAGCAGCTGCAACCCTGTGAAAAAAAGAAACAATTAATTACTTAAAATATTTTCCAATAACTTATTTTTGTATTTGCGCTTAAAGGGAAAATACAACATTTGCAAACATCAAAAAATAAAACTACCAAATCATTTTGAAATACCTTGCTGGACTGTTAGTGAATGACAGTGTAAAGCATCCTGTAAAATCATGGCACCTGGTATACTGTCATTTTCAAGAAAAGTGGTATTTTTGTATCAATTTCCAACGCTGATCGGCCGATCAGCGTTGGAAAAAACTGGCTTTTTTTCAAATACTGGCCCCAGTTGACCATCGCACTTGTTTGCAATCGATATTACACTCCTATGAACGGGTACAAGCCAGCTAGACTGGTTCCCTAACCTTTTCCCCAATATATGTAAACTGCTCTGTTTCTTCTTAAATGGAGTCAGGGAACCAGACTACAGGAAAATGATTGTTTTTCTTGGTTTTTATAGCATTTTCGAACCCAAAACCTCAAAAAAAGTCAGTGTAACTATATTTGCTATATATTTCCAACCCCCCAATTCCATCCATTTCTGAAAATTACAGCAAAAGCAAATGATGTATATTCCCTTTAAAGAGCGAGAGACTGGAGATATTTTTCAGGGAAATATCAACCAAGCTCCACAGCTTGGGACCCTCATGCTTCACAATTGCCCTAGAGATTGCAGTACCAGCATAAGACCTATGAAATTCATTAAACTGTCTTGTAAAATAAAGGTGCATATCATATCATAATATTTCAAAAACATGGAACAAATCGATTTGGGTAAATAAGTTGATGCATGAAGGAGCCCAGCTGAAGAGAGTAAATGTCATTAACTTTTAGAGTATTGCAATTATAAAAAAAAGTGGATTACTATGCTCATAAAAGTCAACGTTGTTAATGATACCCAATACTTTATCTCTGTAATTTGAGGATTCTATTAATTCGACTTCAGTACCACTATTGCCCCATGCAAGTATACCATATGTAATATAAGGTACAATAAGGGTATTATACAACATTATTAAGATATCCTGGGAAAAAGTACATTTCAACTTGGAAATATTACCTATGTTTCTTGAAATAACAGTAGAGATGTGATTAATATTTGTTCCAAGAAAGACTGTCATCAATATTTAAACCTAAGAACTTTAAACAATCAGTTTTTATAATATTAGTATTATCAATACAGATTGAAAACGGCTGACAATACTTCCTATTACTGAAATAACATATAAAAATTTTGGAGGATTTTGGAGGATTGAGGATGGTTGTAAGCAACAAGGGCCTAGGGGGTTAGGGTTAATGTATACATAGAATAAAAGGGGACCCAAGATAGAACCTTGTGAGACTCCACAAGATATTTCACAATAAGTAGACTGGGTTCCATTGATAGATACAAATTGCTGATGGTTAGAAAGATAACTCCTGAACCAGTCCAAGGCAACTCCTCTGATTCCATAATATTCCAATTTAGATAAAGGATGTCATGATCAACTGTGTCGAAGGCCTTGGACAGGTCCAGGAAGATACCAATTGTAGCAAGGGATGCATCTAAGCCAGTTGTTAATTTGTCAATTAATTTAATAACAGCATGTGTAGTGGAATGATGTGCTCGAAATCCATATTGATTATCCGAAGTTATAGAGTGTTTGTCAAAAAATTCTACGGTACGTTTATAAATAACGTTCTATAATCTTAGAAAATGAAGTAAGAACTGAAATTGTTTTTGTCTTTTTTTTTGGAGGCATGTTGACATCAAATTCCAGTAGGTAGATGCAGCTAACTGTATATATTTCACACATTAGAGGATGTTTAATTATTAAGAAGATTAGAGAGGATTTATTTGGTGAAAATCAACAAAATTAAACAGAGCAAAATGGTTGCAGCTCTCACTCCATGTGGGGCGCCCTCTAAAAAAATGTAGGGCGCCCTCTTATAAAAAAATCTAATAAATATTTTCAAATAAGTTAAAGGTCATGTGAAACGTCAATGTGTCCACCTTCCAACGATACCTTGATTGTGTGTCTGTGGCCACGGACGACAGAGCATTTGTTGTTATTCTATTCATTGTTATACACCCTGTTGGCTGCATGGCTTGTTATGCAAAGGTTGGAAACGATGTGTGATGTCATGCAGAGCTTTTATGTGGTAAGAGGTGGAGGCCACGTTGAAGGCCTTGGGCCATGAGAGGTTAACTTCAACAATGAGAATGGTTATATCCCTGTGTCAACATTGAATAAATTGTATGAACGAAAAAAAAGTGTTCTTTCTGTAAGTTAAGTCGTTCCACATGCCCAGAATACCAGTTACCCTTTTGTACACACTTGGCCCAGTACAGGTTTTGCCCTTGAAAGAATAACAATGAATGCTCAGTCATCCCTGGCCACAGACACACAATCAAGGTATTATTGGAAAGAGGACACATTGGTGTTTCACATATGATCTTTAAACTACATTTGAAAATATTTATTAGAGTTTTTATAATTACATTCACATCTGGGTTTCCTATTTTTTTTAACACACCCTGTATAAGTGTGATCACGGCCCATGGGTTCACTATAGGTGGTTGCATGACGTAGTACCTGCGCACTTATATTAAAGTGTGTATAGTCCCAGTCAAACTATGTCCATAGCAGTTGTTGCCATGAAGTTTAAGTGTTTACTGTATGGAAAGTGAGGCCTTATTAAGTACAGAAGTACTTAGTAATACTTTATGACACAATGACATTAAAGTTGATCATTGGCCGGCCGCATCACCGGCCCGCCATGTGCAAAAAAATGAAGCAGACTCCAGATACTGGCTTTAAGACAGCTTATAGCATTATTCCTCATAATCCTTATCTCGGACAGGACGTGATCACGGGCCTGCAGTACGGCCGCTTTGGCCGCGAGGACTGCACCTTGGTCCTGACCACGCGACACGGCGGTCTGCTCATCAAGATCCTGAAACGCAGCGCCATGTTTGAAGACAAGGATACAGTCAGGGGCCCGCCTCCCGCACAAACACAGAAACTCAATGTGCCCAAGAAGACCAAAGTGTTCGTAGACCAGACTATGAGGGAAAGGGAAAATGGAATAGGTAAAGCATCGCATCAGTTTAAAAGACAGAGCTCTCTGTAAGAATGATACAAACCTAAGTTGACAGCATTTATTTTCATGTTAATTTTCACCTTATTGCCATTTGAATGGGAAAATTTACAGCTGTTTTTAAATATTTTGGTGGAGATCATACCAGCATTGTCGTCGAGTACATTTTCATGAGTAAAAGTACAAGTACTTTGCCGCGAGTATGCGTATGAGTACAAGTACTTTATCATGAGTACAAGCACGTATGCGATATTGCCCATGAGTAAGACGAGTATTCTCCACGAGTAGGAGCGAATTTCAATGGGTACACGTTTTCTCAAGGGCTTTTTGCTGTCAAACTAGGCATTAAACAAATGCAGAAGCCTCCTTAACAGTAGACTTGGTGCCAAGCATAGAGCTATATTAAATTACTAGAGCGCTAACTTCGTGTACAAAGTAATGCCTGCTGGGCGCATCCATGTTTGTGCACAAACGTATGGAGACCTAGAAATCTTGTACGGCTTTTGTACGACTCTTATCACAATGATACATTTTTTATTTCTATACACAATTGACCAAGCTGAGTGAATTGGTCGTTAAAACATCGCCAGATCTGCAAACATGTCCCTGACGTATTGAGAAGAACTCCCCATCTAACGGAATGAATGAGTCCGCTTTTGCATAGCCGTGCGCGATTGGATCTCACCGCAAAAATGCACTGCATACATGTATGTATTGCGCTGCTTGCATATATGAATAACGGTGCGAGAACATAATCTTCAAGTCGTTAAATATGTCGCAAACCGGACAAAATACGATATCTAACGACTTGTCATCAAGTCTACCTTAACAGTAAAAAATTGATTCTTTTCCTGAATGTTCCTCTAAAAAAGTTAAATTCTTTAGGGAGAACATTTGCTAGAGAACAAATACTTTGTTATGTGTACGAGTGCGGGCAATATTTTTTTTACGAGTGCTAGTTTGAGTATGAGTACATTCTCATGACTACGAGCACAACTACTGGTTTTCTTCAGGCTCACATGGCTAGGTACTTTGGACACTACTTAGCAATCCTTGCTTTTATTTACAGAAATAACATCAATAACGATTGATACTTTTCGTTGGCAGCCATGCATCGCATGTTCCAGCATGACCTGTACCGATTGCGGCTCAACACGGCCAGGTCGTTTGTCAAGTCTCTAGACAACAGGTTGACACCAATCTCCTCCAATCCTGCTGAGCCGCTCAAACTATCTGCACAGGTCAGTTACCAACGTTTACTGGTACCCACCGCCCTGTCATTCGCAGAATTTGTGTAGGAAATGCAGGTATTGCAAACATTGTACATTGATTATATGCTGTGAGTAATGCATGTACACTTTTTGTGCACGTGTTCCACATAGTTTAACCAAAACTATGGGCCGTCCTACTGTACAGGGTGGTGCAAAAAAGAAGTAAACCCACTTTTGACAGAAATTTTAACCTTACTTTCTTAACTTATTTGAACTGTTTATAATGTAGTGAAGTATAGCTTTTCAACTATACTTGGTAACCAAATCTTAAAAAGAAATCCCAAGAATAGTGTCATTATGCTAATTTGAATACAAGTCACCAAAATCAGTGTTGTCCATTTCTAAGTACATGTATAGTGTAGTGTTTTGTCTTCACATCAAGCTCCGGTGCTCAGTCAAGCGGATGGAATAAAGCCGTCCATGGACAAACAGGTTTGGCACACAACAATTTTAAACTACCATATCTCAGAGACAAAATATGCATTTGCAATCATTTTTTCGTAACTTACGTTTAAAGATAAACACCATTAAATTGAATTTTTGAAATATGCTCAACAAGTAGGTGAAAATTGCTGTCAAAAGTGGGTTTCCTTCTTTTTGCACTGCCCTGTAGTTTAGATAATTATAGACACTACCAAAAACTCATGAAGATACTTCCCAATGAATTATATGTGCGATTTTGGAGAGAAAAATTTGTCAATCAAATTTATGTAAATTGTGGGCTGCCGTACAAAATGGCCATCAATAAAAAAATTGGAAATGTTGATGGAAGGTAATCGGGCAATTCTCAATTTCACATCATAGGTCATAGACTTGTCATGTAGTCGTGGTAAGTTGCTCATACCTATGACCCTATCTATGACCACTACATGTAGTTGCATGTACCTCTAATTTCTTGAGGTCTCTGTGGTCAGATTTTAAACCTGTTAACCATCGGCCTCGGCAAACCCGGGATTATACTTCCACTGTAGAACCTCCAAAATCCTCCACTGTGGAAAATTCATGGCAGGATCAAGCCCATGCAACTTGGTCTAGTGTCTAGTGAATAGTACTGCAATATTATCTGTTAAAAAACTGGACAATTTCAAAGGATCTTGGAGGGTTAAAGCTGAAGATGTCATTCGTTTCCCTGTTTACAGATCCAAGGCATCGGGCCTACCTTCAAGCTGACAGTGAATCTACAGAATACGTCCATCAATAACCCCTCCATGCAGCTTCTGATCACATTCCTGTATGACGAGAAACTCTATTCCCTCCAGAAGACTATGATAGAGGTGTGCCTTCTGCAATTCCCCCCCCCCCTCCCCCCATTCAAATCAAGCTTTATCTAAGCATACCGGTAGTTATTATTTAACACTGCCAAGGAAGGAAGTTAGGACGCATTGAACGCATCTTAAGTTTGGTGAAATGGAGCCTATGATGAGTCGTGAGATAAGGAGAGTTACTCTTCCTAAGATCTTAGCATTTCTTGAAATCGGCCCCAGGGTCCACTTTCCACCTTGAGGCAATAGTACGGTAGAACCTGTATTGTGTCTGTACCCTGGACACCGCATACAAAAACAAACACTGACTTAAGCATGGCCAGACAAAAACCGGACTATTCCGTACCAATTTATACTGTGCGAGATTTTGGAACATGCAAATGATCCAGTACCAGAGTGAGAGAGCAGCTAGTGGGAGCGTACTGCTTGACACCATGGGGATGAGGTTGGCATCTTAAAGATTGCCCACATTGCAGAGAGAGAGAGAGGGAGGGGGGATTGCACAAATCTTTTCAGTATTTTTCTTTTTGATATAGTATTGCTTTACTATGCAAAATCTCCAGATGTGTTTTTTTTATATGGAAGTGAGATAAGATAATGAGACCCGAAGTAACAGTCTAAATAACACGCAACACTAAGAATAACAACGTTGATCAACTCGGTAAACTTCTAAGCGGCTTATAGTCATAATCGTCCCTTCACTGTTTGCCCTGCTTGACAGCTGTTCTGTTCTTTGTTTATGTTTCTGACCTGCAGGTTCCGATGCTGGTCCCGGGACTCAACTACTCGTTTGAGACGCTGGTCGAGTGTCTGAGTGACAAGGGCATCTCAGACGTCATCAAGGTGTTTGTCCTGAGGGAGGGACAGAGTATTCCTATCATAACGGCCGTCATTAGTATGCCAGTCAGTGAAACCATGGTGGTCGTCTAGTCATCCACCTTCGCGCTCCCCTCCCCAACCCCCTTGTTGGCTCGGATGACCTGAAGCGAAATCGTGTGTCGGTTGGCGTAATGTCACAAAGAATAGCACCATCATTGTTCAGTCATGTCCAGTCGACTTTTAACTACGTTCCCATTGGGTGATTCGCCCGTACCCACGGCCCAAGCAGGGCGCTGGGAAGGGCTTATTTTCTTCTGGATGTATGACGTAATTTCTTCAAGCCCTCATTAGATAGAATGTGTTTGAACACTAACACAGGTTAAGCTTTCCACCCACACTTAACATGTGCACACAGAGTGTATGTGCATTGGCGTGGATGGCTGGCGCACAGAATGTACAAGAATATAAGCAAACTCCTAAGTTTCACCCATTTTCTGGATGTAAAAAATGTGTGTAGTGTATACAATCAATTGCAAAATTAAACATGAATTGTAATAATTGAAAATCTGGAAACTGATGATTCAGTGCTGTGCTGCACACCATCAGATCTACTGCTTGAGTGATCATGGTGTCATTGTTACTTTTGACCCCATTATACTTTTGCTCCCTTTTGTTCCACACTGGGTCAAAACATCAACGAAAAAAACCAGCCCAACAAGCAAACAACCCCAACACCCCTAAAAAACCAACAAACAAACAAACAGCCTAACAAACAAACAAAGGGTCACTGCATTTGGTTTCGCTTTGAATACTCTGCTGGCCTATTTTTCTAGGGGGATTAATACAAGTGTATATGTGTGTGTATATAATTGGTGTGAAATAAAACCTTTAGAAGACAACTCCTTTCACTGTGGTATAAAGTTATTTCAAGGATACCTAAACGACAATACGCATTATATTAGCAACACAACCTGACCCAGTGGACACGGTTGAACTTGTTTTTTTCTATAGCCTGAAAACGTACTGGTTGATGATCAATCAACTGTGTTTTCCAGTGGCGTAGCCAGGAATTTTTCAGTGGGGGGCGCTGGGGGGGGGGAGGGGGGCTGGAACATTTCATGGGGGGGGGGCGTCATGTAGGGGCGTCAATCGCTTCTCAAAAGTGGGGGGGGGGGGGGGACATACCTTGATCAGAACTGATGTAAGCGCGAAGCGCGAAGCCCTTACGGCGTGGGGGTTCGGGTCCCGCTTAAGGGCCCCGAAAAAAATTGGATTCTAGATGTTCTGTGGTGTGATCTGAAGCAATTTCTTACCACTTTCCTCCATGATTTAACTAATATTTTCTTAGCAAAAGATAATTATTTGAACATCGTTTTTGAGGTTGGAGTCATTGAATCAGCTATCGGTATTCTGAGCTATAGGCGTGGGGTTCGGGGCCCGCTTAAGGGCCCCGAAAAAAATTGGATTCTCGATGCTCTGTGGTGTGATCTGAGGCAATTTCTTACCACTTTAACCAATAATTATCTTAGCACAAAAGATAATAATTTAAACATAATTTTCGAGGTTTTCTCAGCTAAAGGCATAAGAAAATTTTGTGAACATTGTTTTCGAGGTTGGAGTCACTGAATCAGCTACCAGAATTCTGAGCTATAGGCGTGGGGTTCGGGGCCCGCTTAAGGGCCCCGAGAAATTTTGGATTCTAAATGCTCTGTGGTGCTATCTGAGGCAATTTCTGACCACTTTACCCATATATTTTCTAAGCAAAAGATACATTGTAGTACATAAAAGGGCCCTGTAAATGAGACACGAGTTCAAAAATCTGGGGGGGGGGGGCATTTGATATTGTGTTTCATGGGGCAAGGTTTCATGGGACAAGGACAAGGACATGGACAAGGTTTCATGGGGGGGGGGGCGACCGCCCCCACGCCCCCGGTGGCTACGCCACTGCATGTATGTGTGTATATAATTGATGTGAAATGAAAGCTTTACATGACAACTTCTTTCACTGTGGTATAAAGTTGTTTCAAGGCTACCTAAACGACAAAAGGCGTTAAGTTAGCAACACGACCTAACCAAGTGCACACGGTTGATTTGTTTTTTCTATAGCCTGAAAACGTGCTGGTTGATGGTCAATCAACTGTGTTTTCTATGTGATTGCTGTCTGCATACAATTCCTTATAAAAGCAAGTGTCCAATATGGGTCAATAAATATAGCGCAGACGCCATCATGGGCAAAAACCCGGCGGATATTTCCAAATCGCGTTTTGCGATCGGGACGCGACGGCTTCCTACCAACTCCAGCCAGCAACCGACCCTAAAGTGATAGAGAGGTCTACTTTAGAATTTGTTGACCAAAAGGAACTTTCATCCCGTCTTTCAGAGACAAATTAAGGACAGGATCGAGTTGTACGATGAAAAAGCTTAAACTGATTACGTGTCGGAAAATATGTGGAGTCGTCATTCTTGGACTACTACTGCTGGTCTATTGTTTCGCATGTTACTGTGTTTTCTATGTGATTGCTGTCTGCATACAATTCTGTGTAAAATCAAGTGTCCAATAAGGGTCAATAATAGCGCAGACACCATCGCGGGGAAAAAAACCCGCATTTCCAAATCGCGTTTCGCGATCGGGACGCGACGGCTTCCGACCAACTCCAGGCAGCAACCGACCCTAAGGTGATAGAGAGGTCTACTTTAGAATTTGTTGAGCAAAAGGAACTTTCATCCCGTCTTTCAGAGACAAATAAAGGACAGGATCGAGTTGTACGATGAAAAAGCTTGAACTGATTACGTGTCGGAAAGTATATAGCGTCGTCATTCTTGGACTACTACTGCTGGTCTATTTCGCATGTTACCATGCAGGCCTAAGTGATATCCGTCTGGTGATTCCACAACCGCTAGCACACCGAAAGAACTCCACGGACGGTCCTCCAGTGGAGGATGCAATAAGAACCCATGTGATTCAGACAGGCGACACAGCAAGTGTGGGCAAACAATTGCAACAGGAGCAACGGGAACAATCGTTGATGCCTTCGGATAGCAAAGTGGTGACGTGGACGAATGACTGTACATTATACAAGAAACAGAGAGGGTATCCTACGACACCCAACTCGGACGAAGAGGCAGGTTTCCCGTTGGCATATATCCTTGTGGTTCACACGGGAACGGCCCAGGTGGAGAGACTATTGAGGGCGATTTATCAGCCGCAGAACGTATACTGTCTTCACCCGGATTCAAAATCACCCAGGGAGTTCGACAATATGTTCATAGCTTCTAAACTTGAAGATGTTGTGTACGCCGGCTTCACTCAGTTGTTGACGAATATCAACTGCATGAAGGATCTGACTGGTCGACCCGCATCTGGCCGCCCGTGGAGATACGTGATGAACCTTTGTGGACAAGACTTCCCCTTGAGGACAAACCTGGAGATTGTCAGGCAGTTGAATGCGCACAACGGCCAGAACGAAATCCAATCGTCTGTTCCAGACAAGCGTAAGAGTAGAAGAACTGAGTTTAAATTCATCCTGCGAAACAAATCGATCGTCAGAACTAAAAGTAGAAATGGTCCTGCTCCACACCAACTCAAGTTGTACACTGGTTCAGCTTACTACGCTGTCACCAGAGACTTCGTCCGCTACATCTTAAGTGATCCAGTCGCCATAGATTTTCTAGATTGGACCAGGAACACGCACTCGCCGGAGGAAACTTACTGGGCTTCTCTTCAACGGGCACCGGGCGTTCCAGGAGGGAATTACAGAGCAGACCCACAAATCAGACCGTTCAGTGTCCGTTATGTCCTTTGGTACACGAGAGCGTCCCCGCGTAAATGTCGAGGCAAATACGTCCGTAGGGTCTGCGTCTTCACAATCGGAGATATACACTATGTTCAACAGCAACCGCATCTATTTGCCAATAAGTTCTACTACGACTACGATCCAGTGAGCTTGCAGTGCCTCGAGGAGGCGCTGGAGTTTAGATTTCGTCACTCCGAGGAGTCCGACAAATAAGCTAAGATTTCGAAACTGAAAACACGAAACTATTCCCGACCCCGACCTCCTGTTTATTAATTGAAGACTACTGAGTTGCAGGCCTTACGATGGATTTTACAAATTTGGGCAACATTCAATTCCACTTGAATGTCTAAAAGACAATGAGAAATAATATAATAAAGTTCCCCAAATATAAACTCACGCTATTTCCTGAGTGATGGTGCCGTTATACTCAAATTCATGTTGAGCTGTTGTCCAATGGTGTCTTAAAAAAGTACGTGACTATCCATCTTAAAATAGCACAAGTATCACAAATCTACTGAATAATTCCAGAAAAGGACGTATATGCCTATCCTGAAAAAGATCAGGATGTCTTCTATCCAATGGTATTTTACACTTGCCAATGATTACTGAGCAAACAGGGCCTCTATGAAAGGGGTCAAAATCAGCACTGTGACAAGGTAATAGTACACTATGGGAAAATGGTGATAGGGACAATGATTTGGTGCTTCAGTGAAGGAATGAAACAATCCTTCTGATCACTCAAATCGTTTAAATTCAGGAAAAAATGTTGCAACCTGACGCCACTTCCACGATTATGTACAAAGTCTGTGGAGAGTCAAGAAAATTTTGTAAGTATTTCCTAACAAAATTGGAAATGTTTCTCAGTCCCAGTTTCATGTCTTATCAACATTTTTGCAATTGATGACCTTCATTGAGATGATGTATGAAGAAAAAAAAGTGGCATCAGGTTGCACAATTTTTCCGAAAAGACATGAATCTGGGACTGACATTTCCAACTTTGTTAGAAAATACTTTGAAAATGCACTCGACTCTCCATAGACTTTGTACACAACCAAAAAAAATGGCGTCTGGATACTACATTCTTTCCAAAAAAACTTAACAAAAAGGACAATCCGTGGATCGGGGGTGGCGGAATGCTTTTCAATCTGGGCTGGGGGCAACACCAACAAGGGGCACTCATCCAGAAAAAGTTATGATTAACGTTATTGGTCTGATTTGAACTTATCTATCGATTACAGGAGAAGCCTTTTTACCCATTTCACTGAAAATTTAGCACACAGTGTTAAAATAGTTTCAGCAGTAGCCTAACTTGAGCTTATGTTCAGCTTAATGGTGGTAGTATTTTGGAGGAAACAGAACAATCGAAGCATACTTGCTTTGTGTGGATTTGGCATTTTCAGTGTTTTTGAAAATAATGAAGGAGGCAGCCCACCTTTTTCTTTGCCTAAAATGGCAGATTTTCCAAGATGACAGATGGATTCTTCCGTTTTCTTGACTCTTTTGCTGATACAAAGGAGCCGTAACCCTTTCTACATAGCTCCAGTTATGTTGGAAACAAATAAAAAGACAATATATTCACAACATTTGCAAACTATATTGCAAATATATGATTAAAAAAAAGAGGTGGACGAGTAAAAAGAAAACGGACAAGGACAAGAAACTTGGTTTATTTTTTTACTTGGCCTTTATGGAAGTGTGGCAGAGTGGTTAGGGTTTGTGACTCGTGATCAGAGGGTCAGGGGTTCTAATCCAGCTGCTGGCCATATCCTGGCCTCTCTCCACCCAGGAGTGGGTACCAGCATTAGCTGGGGAGTACCCTGCGATAAACTGGCATCCAATCCGGGGGGTATTAGGGTTGGAAATATTCTCAATCGTTTCATGCCCAGGAAACCAGAGATAAACACACTGCAAAAACTGGAGTGTTAAATTTACACCATTGGTATCTATATAGGACCATCTGGTATTAAATTTTACTGGTGTTGTCCTATATACATACCGAATGGTGTTAAATTAACACTACAGTTTTTGCAGTGCACCGACATGATGGGCTACATTGGCCCGTGACAGACTTTACTGTTTAGGAAATTGTGGAGAAGACTATTTATAATTGACAGTGATGTGGCATATTTATGAATTGTAAGTTCATCACAGATACAACCTCTGTTTCCACAAAACCTGTAAAAGATATTAGGTGGAATTCATTTGTGAGTTTTAACACTTTAAAATTTTCCATTTGTTTAGTTTGTATAACAGGATGCTATAAGTCATCACGTTCTATGTACACGATCCCCACGGATGGGAGTTCAAACCCTGGAAAGCAGCTTTTGCTGGACTTGGTAGGCCTACCGGCCATTTACGCCGTGTACAAGAATATAAGCAAACTCCTAAGTTCACCCATTTTCTGAATGTAAAAAATGTGTGAAGTGTATACAATCAATTGCAAAATTAAACATGAATTGTAATAATTGAAAATCTGAAACTGATGATTTAGGGTTGTGCTGCACACCATCAGATCTACTGCTTGAGTGATTATGGTGTAATAGTACTTTGGACCCCATTATACTCTTGTCACCTTTTGTACCACACTGGGTCAAAACATCAACGAAAAAAAAACCAGCCCACCAAACATGCAAACAAACAACTCCAGCACCCCCAAAAACCCAACAAGCAAACAAAGGGTTCACTGCATTTTGTTTCGCTACTCTGCTGGCCTATTTTTCTAGGGGGGTTAATACAAGTGTACATGTATGTGTGTATATAATTGATGTGAAATGAAAGCTTTAAATGACAACTTCTTTCACTGTGGTATAAAGTTATTTCAAGGCTACCTAAACGACAATATGCATTATATTAGCCTAACCAAGTGGACACGGTTGAATTTGTTTTTTCTATAGCCTGAAAACGTCATCAGGGGGAAAAACGGATATTTCCAAATCGCGTTTCGCAATCAGGGTCAATAAATATAGCGCAGACGCCATCACGGGCAAAAACCCGGCGGATATTTCCAAATCGCGTTTTGCGATCGGGACGCGACGGCTTCCTACCAACTCCAGCCAGCAACCGACCCTAAAGTGATAGAGAGATCTACTTTAGAATTTGTTGACCAAAAGGAACTTTCATCCCGTCTTTCAGAGACAAAGTAAGGACAGGATCGAGTTGTACGATGAAAAAGCTTGAACTGATTACGTGTCGGAAAGTATATAGCGTCGTCATTCTTGGACTACTACTGTTGGCCTATTGTTTCGCATGTTACCATACAGGCCTAATTGATACCCGTCTGGTGATTCCACAACCGCTAGCACGCCGCAAGAACTCCACGGACGGTCCTCCAGTGGAGGATGCAATAAGAACCCATGTGTTTCAGATAGGCGACACAGCCAGATCGCTCTACAGTGACACCCTCGGTAAACTCCCAACGAATCCACAGTATCACAGGCGCTGGGATGTCAACTGCTCTGCCATTTTTGCCGGAAGTGAAAGAGTTATCACGAGTGTGAGCAAACAATTGCTGCAGGAGCAACAGGAACAATCGTTGATGCCTTCGGATAGCAAAGTGGTGACGTGGACGAATGACTGTACATTATACAAGAAACAGAGAGGGTATCCTACGACACCCAACTCGGACGAAGAGGCAGGTTTCCCGTTGGCATATATCCTTGTGGTTCACACGGGAGCGGCCCAGGTGGAGAGACTATTGAGGGCGATTTATCAGCCGCAGAACGTATACTGTCTTCACCCGGATTCAAAATCACCCAGGGAGTTCCATCAAGCAATAGCCGGCCTCGCAAACTGCTTCGACAATGTGTTCATAGCTTCTAAACTTGAAGATGTTGTGTACGCCGGCGTCACTCTGTTGTTGACGAATATCAACTGCATGAAGGATCTGACTGGTCGATCCGCATCTGGCCACCCGTGGAGATACGTGATGAACCTATGTGGGCAAGACTTCCCCTTGAGGACAAACCTGGAGATTGTCGGGCAGTTAAAGGCGCACAACGGCCAGAACGAAATCCAATCGTCTGTTCCAGACAAGCGTAAGAGTAGAAGAACTGAGTTTAAATTCATCCTGCGAAACAAATCGATCGTCAGAACTAAAAGTAGAAATGGTCCTGCGCCACACCAACTCAAGTTGTACAGTGGTTCAGCTTACTACGCTGTCACCAGAGACTTCGTCCGCTACATCTTAAGTGATCCAGTCGCCATAGATTTTCTAGATTGGACCAGAAACACGCACATGCCGGAGGAAACTTACTGGGCTACTCTTCAACGGGCACCGGGCGTTCCAGGAGGGAATTACAGAGCAGACCCACAAATCAGACCGTTCAGTGTCCGTTATGTCCTTTGGTACACGAGAGCGTCCCCGCATAAATGTCGAGGCAAATACATCCGTAGGGTCTGCGTCTTCACAATCGGAGATATACACTATGTTCAACAGCAACCGCATCTATTTGCCAATAAGTTCTACTACGACTACGATCCAGTGAGCTTGCAGTGCCTCGAGGAGGCGCTGGAGTTTAGAGTTCGTCACTCCGAGGAGTCCGACAAATAAGCTAAGATTTCTAGTCTGAACACGAAACAATTCCCGACCCCGAGCTCCTGCTCGAATTGAAGACTACTGAGTTGCAGGCCTTACGATGGATTTTACAAATTTGGGCAACATTCAATTCCACTTGAATGTCTATAAGACAATGAGAAATGATATAGTAAAGTTCCCCAAATATAAACGCACGCTATTTCCTGAGTGATGTTTCCGTTATACTCAAATTCATGTTGAGCTGTTGTCCAATGGTGTCTTTAAAAAGTACGTGACTACTGGTATTTTACACTTGCCAAGGATGACTGAGCAAACATGGCCTCTATGAAAGGGGTCAAAATCAGCACTGTGACAAGGTAATAGTACACAATGGGAAAATGGTGATAGGGACAATGATTAGGTGCTTCAGTGAAGGAATGAAACAATCTTTCTGAACACTCAAATCTTTTCAATTCAGGAAAAATGTTACAACATGACGCCACTTCCACGATTGTGTACAAAGTCTGTGGAGAGTCAAGAAAATGTTTGTATTTCCTAACAAATTGTAAATGTTTCTCAGTCCCAGTTTCATGTCTTATCATCATTTTTGCAATTAATGACCTTCATTGAGATGATATATGAAGAAAAAAGTGGCGTCAGGTTGCATTTTTTTCCCGAAAAGACATGAATCTGGGTGTGATTAACATTTCCAACTTTGTTAGAAAATACTTTGAAAATGCACTCGACTGTCCATAGACTTTGTACACAACCAAAGAATAGCGTCTGGATACTACATTCTTTCCAAAAAAAAACTTAACAAAAAGGACAATCCGTGGATCAGCGGCGGTGGAACGCTTTTCAATCAGGGGGGGGGGGGGGGAGAGACACCAAAGAGGGGCACTCATCCAGAAAAAGGGGCACCTTCCGTCGGTGCGAAAGTGAGAGCCCTTCGGCCTCTGCAATGGCGGATCCAGAACCCATTTTTTTATTTCGGGGGGGGGGGGGGGGGGGGGGATTTGGTCCCCAAAAAGTGGGTCCACAAATTCACGGTGTGGGGTTCAGGGTCCGCTTAAGGGCCCGGGAGAACAATGTATCTTAGATGCTCTGATCTGTGGTGCGATCTGAGGCAATTTCTGGCCACTTTAACCAATTTTGGCGAAAAGATGGTGGTGTAAGTGGCTGCCTTTTTTTTTGTGACGTCACTAAAATAAGCAATTTGGGTTCGTGTGGGGTTTTTTTTTGGGGGGGGGGGGGGCGGCCGTCCTTGGACCTTCAGCACACCGCACATCCTCTGCCCCCGGCAGTAACCTCTCTGGGTCCGCCCATGAATTTGACTAGTTATGTAGAGAGACCACCTTTTTTCGCGAGAGGGGCACTTTTGCTTTTGATTGCCAGCTCAGTGACCATTTTATTCATGTGCGGAGGAGCACTATTACTTTTAAAGGCCAGTTTCCCACGAGAGGGGCACACTTTTAATGTTGCGAGCGGGGCACTAATAAAATTGTGCTTTCGAGGGGTAGTTTTCCATCTCGAGAAGGTGCACAATCTTGTTAATGCGAGAGGGCCACTTAGGTTTTTGAGGGGCAGTTTTCCATTACAAGAGAGGAGGAAATTGTATTTGTAGCGCGATCATTATGCTCTCATACGTGTGCGTTTGAGGGGGACTTTTGTTTTCATCTAGAAAGGGGAACATTTTATAACCGCGAGAGGTGCACTTTTGTTGGCCTGAGAAAATCTGGGGGGGGGGGGCAAGTGCCCCCCCCCCCCCCGGTGCCGCCGCACCTGCCGTGGATACTTATAGAGAATGCATAAATAACCGAATTAATCAAATTGACCGCTAGAAACTTACGTCAGAATCTCAGAATCTCAGAAAGTTGACTGGACATGGCGGCTAGGCATCATCATCCAGTTTGACTTCACGCCGGTGCAGTGCAAGCTTCTCATATGACATTCCGATGTTCTCAATAACCTCCACATCACTCCAATTTGTGTTTTCAGCATTGGGTTTGTCACCGACAGGCTTTGCAGTGTTACCCGTTTATTTTTAAGAATAATTCAACAATTCTTATTACATATCATTGTAAAGCAAACTATTAATAATTTTAATTAACTTTAGTTCTAAGCAGGGTTGTGCAACTTCTAAGTCATTTCTCTCAACCCTTACTTTTAATACTATCTTCATTTCCATGTTTAAACCTGTTTCTTGGTCGTGCTTACTTAGCAGTTAATTATTGACTTTCATTTTCATAATTTTATCCTTGTACATCTCATCATTATTATTTGTTTATTTATAAGTATAATATTCAATACATTCTACCAAGATGTTTTAACATGATGTTGGCTCCTGTGATTTATATACTTATGCATATCATCCCAACAAAATCCGTACATCCACGGAGTGAAAAACCAGAGATAAAAACTCATGGAGGAAATACTCAGGAAAACCCCACGAATAGTACGGATTTTGTTAGACCTATTAAGCTGTCCATTCTCATCATCACATTTGTATTAAAATAATTGTTAAATTAGTATGTGAACTCGTTGCCCGTCGGCGCGCAGATGAAGCCAACCCTTTTATCCCTCTTTATTTATAGCACCTTCTAACTCCTTTCCACCTCCGCGTAGCGGAGTGACATTCCAGTTGAGAACTTAATTTCGTTCTATTTCACCCGGTTCAACCAAACGAAATATCATTTATGTATTTTCCAAACGAAATGATTGTCTGTGATGAGTGAGATTATTCGATGTGTACTCCATGTAACAAAATCAGTGGTGGTCTTCATTTGAGTGCACAATGAAATGTGGTTCCACAAATGAGCTGCTCACCAAACCTCCTAGTGGTTGGTGTTGATTACATCGAAAGTATGGCATTTTAATAGTTTTTATTTAATTCAGTATATTTCTGTAGCTGTAACACTAATGCGCATATCAATTTTTCCCCCACCCTCCCCCCGGGCTGCCCTACCCAAGACGTGGGGATTGTCACTTTTGAAGTGACAAAATCCCCACCCCTAGGGTAAAATTTAAGTGGCAATCCCCGACCATGCCCCGACATAAATACGTGGGGCGTACTAGTAAATGCATTTCCATGTAGAACGCCAATGGTAGCAATGTAATTTGAGTTACCAAAATCCCCACCCTGGGGCGTGAAAAAGTGACCAAATCCCGAGATCGGACCTGGGGCTGCGCAGGGGGGGGGGGGAACATTTGCGCATAACACGCATGTATCACTCCATTTGGATTTGAGAGTGTGTGAATTGGGTGTGTGCACTTTTTGTGTGTGACTCTCCATGTACAGTATGTATTGCTGAACAATGGATCGAATTCATCTCATAGCTCAAAGCATTAATAAGAATCCACACTTTTTATTCCCTTGTTAACCGGACAACAGTTGCAGGGGAGACGTAGTTTAAGTCGGAGAAACTCAAAAGGTGGAGATTCTTTGATTCAAAAGGACTCGGACAAAATGTTGCAACCTGACGCCACTTCCACGATTATGTACGAAGTCTGCTGGAGAGTCATGAAAATTTTGTATTTCCTAATTGAAAATTGGAAAGTTTCTCAGTCCCAGATTCATGTCATCATCATATTTGCAATTAATGACCTTCATTGAGATGATGTATGAAGAAAAAAAGTGGCGTCAGGATGCAAAACTTTTCCGAAAAGACATGAATCTGGACTGACATTTCCAACTTTGTTAGAAAATACTTTGAAAATGCACTCGACTCTCCATAGACTTTGTACACAACCAAAAAATGGCGTCTGGATACTGCATTCTTTCCAAAAAAACTTAACAAAAAGGACAATCCGTGGATCAGGGGTGGCGGAATGCTTTTCAATCTGGGCTTGGGGGGGGGGGCAACACCAAAAAGGGGCACTCATCCAGAAAAAGTTATGATTAACTTTATTGTTCTGATTTGAACTTATGTATCGATCACAGGAGAAGCCTTTTTACCCATTTCACTGAAAATTTAGCACACAGTGTTAAAATAGTTTCAGCAGTAGCCTAACTTGAGCTTATGTTCAGCTTAATGGTGGTAGTATTTTGGAGGAAACAGAACAATCGAAGCATACTTGCTTTGTGTGGATTTGGCATTTTCAGTGTTTTTGATAATATTGAAGGAGGCAGTCTACCTTTTTCTTTGCCCAAAATGGCAGATTTTCCAAGATGACAGATAGATTCTTCCGTTTTCTTGACTCTTTTGCTGATACAAAGGAGCCGTAACCCTTTCTACATAGCTCCAGTTATGTTGGAAACAAATTAAAAAAACAATATATTCACAAAATTTGCAAACTATATTGCAAATATATGAATAAAAAAGAGAGGTGGACGAGTAAAAAAGAAAACGGACAAGGACAAGAAACTTGGTTTATTTTTTTACTTGGCCTTTATGGAAGTGTGGCAGAGTGGTTAGGGTTTGTGACTCGTGATCAGAGGGTCAGGGGTTCTAATCCAGCTGCTGGCCATATCCTGGCCTCTCTCCACCCAGGAGTGGGTACCAGCATTAGCTGGGGAGTACCCTGCGATGAACTGGCATCCAATCCGGGGGGGTATTAGGGTTGGAAATATTCTCAATCGTTTCATGCCCAGGAAACCAGAGATAAACACACTGCAAAAACTGGAGTGTTAAATTTACACCATTGGTATCTATATAGGACCATCTGGTATTAAATTTTACTGGTGTTGTCCTATATACATACCGAATGGTGTTAAATTAACACTACAGTTTTTGCAGTGCCCCGACATGATGGGCTACATTGGCCCGTGACAGACTTTACTGTTTAGGAAATTGTGGAGAAGACCATTGGCTTTGACAGTGATGTGGCATATTTAGGAATTGTAAGTTCATCACAGATACAACCTCTGTTTCCACAAAACCTGTATAAGATATAAGGTGGAATTCATTTGTGAGTTTTAACACTTTAAAATTTTCCCATTTGTTTAGTTTGTATAACAGGATGCTATAAGTCATCACGATCTATGTACACGATCCCCACGGATGGGAGTTCAAACCCTGGAAAGCAGCTTTTGCTGGACTTGGTAGGCCTACCTGCCATTTACGCCGTGTACAAGAATATAAGCAAACTCCTAAGTTCACCCATTTTCTGAATGTAAAAAATGTGTGAAGTGTATACAATCAATTGCAAAATTAAACATAAATTGTAATAATTGAAAATCTGAAACTGATGATTTAGGGTTGTGCTGCACACCATCAGATCTACTGCTTGAGTGATCATGGTGTAATTGTACTTTGGACCCCATTATACTCTTGTCACCTTTTGTACCACACTGGGTCAAAACATCAACGAAAAAAAAAACAAGCCCACCAAACATGCAAACAAACAACTCCAGCACCCCAAAAAACCCAACAAGCAAACAAAGGGTTCACTGCATTTTGTTTCGCTACTCTGCTGGCCTATTTTTCTAGGGGCGTTAATACAAGTGTACATGTATGTGTGTATATAATTGATGTGAAATGAAAGCTTTAAATGACAACTTCTTTCACTGTGGTATAAAGTTATTTCAAGGCTACCTAAACGACAATATGCATTATATTAGCCTAACCAAGTGGACACGGTTGAATTTGTTTTTTCTATAGCCTGAAAACGTGCTGGTTGATGGTCAATCAACTGTGTTTTCTACATGATTGCTGTCTCCATACAATTCCTCATAAAAGCAAGTGTCCAATCAGGGTCAATAAATATAGCGCAAACGCCATCAGGGGCAAAAACCCGGCGGATATTTCCAAATCACGTTTTGCGATCGGGACGCGACGGCTTCCTACCAACTCCAGCCAGCAACCGACCCTAAAGTGATAGAGAGGTCTACTTTAGAATTTGTTGACCAAAAGGAACTTTCATCCCGTCTTTCAGAGACAAATTAAGGACAGGATCGAGTTTTACGATGAAAAAGCTTGAACTGATTACGTGTCGGAAAGTATATAGCGTCGTCATTCTTGGACTCCTTCTGCTGGCCTATTGTTTCGCATGTTACCATACAGGCCTAATTGATACCCGTCTGGTGATTCCACAATCGCTAGCACGCCGCAAGAACTCCACGGACGGTCCTCCAGTGGAGGATGCAATAAGAACCCGTGTGATTCAGACAGGCGACACAGCCAGATCGTTCTACAGTGACACCCTCGGTAAACTCCCAACGAATCCACAGTATCACAGGCGCTGGGATGTCAACTGCTCTGCCATTTTTGCCGGAAGTGAAAGAGTTATCACGAGTGTGGGCAAACAATTGCAACATGAGCAACAGGAACAATCGTTGATGCCTTCGGATAGCAAAGTGGTGACGTGGACGAATGACTGTACATTATACAAGAAACAGAGAGGGTATCCTACGACACCCAACTCGGACGAAGAGGCAGGTTTCCCGTTGGCATATATCCTTGTGGTTCATACGGGAGCGGCCCAGGTGGAGAGACTATTGAGGGCGATTTATCATCCGCAGAACGTATACTGTCTTCACCCGGATTCAAAATCACCCAGGGAGTTCCATCAAGCAATAGCCGGCCTCGCAAACTGCTTCGACAATGTGTTCATAGCTTCTAAACTTGAATATGTTGTGTACGCCGGCTTCACTCTGTTGTTGACGAATATCAACTGCATGAAGGATCTGACTGGTCGACCCGCATCTGGCCACCCGTGGAGATACGTGATGAACCTATGTGGGCAAGACTTCCCATTGAAGACCAACCTGGAGATTGTCAGGCAGTTAAAGGCGCACAACGGCCAGAACGATATCGAATCGTTCGTCCCAGACAAGCGTAAGAGTAGAAGAACTGAGTTTAAATTCATCGTGCGAAACAAATCGATCGTCAGAACTAAAAGTAGAAATGGTCCTGCGCCACACCAACTCAAGTTGTACAAAGGTTCAGCTTACTACGCTGTCACCAGAGACTTCGTCCGCTACATCTTAAGTGATCCAGTCGCCATAGATTTTCTAGATTGGACCAGAAACACGCACATGCCGGAGGAAACTTACTGGGCTACTCTTCAACGGGCACCGGGCGTTCCAGGAGGGAATTACAGAGCAGGCCCACAAATCAGACTGTTCAGAGTCCGTTATGTCCTTTGGTACACGAGAGCGTCCCCGCGTAAATGTCGAGGCAAATACGTCCGTTGGGTCTGCATCTTCACAATCGGAGATATACACTATGTTCAACAGCAACCGCATCTATTTGCCAATAAGTTCTACTACGACTACGATCCAGTGAGCTTGCAGTGCCTCGAGGAGGCGCTGGAGTTTAGAGTTCGTCACAAATAAGCTAAGATTTCTAGGCTGAACACGAAACAATTCCCCGACCTCCTGCTCAAATTGAAGACTACTGAGTTGCAGGCCTTACGATGGATTTTACAAATTTGGGCAACATTCAATGCCACTTGAATGTCTATAAGACAATGAGAAATAATATAGTAAAGTTCCCCAAATATAAACGCACGCTATTTCCTGAGTGATGGTGCCGTTATACTCAAATTCATGTTGAGCTGTTGTCCAATGGTGTCTTTAGAAAGTACGTGACTACCCATCTTAAAATAGCACAAGTATCACAAATCTACTGAATATTTCAGAAAAGGACGTATATGCCTATCCGGAAAAAGGTCAGGATGTCCTCTATCCAATGGTATTTTACACTTGCCAAGGATGACTGAGCAAATATGGCCTCTTTGAAAGGGGTCAAAATCAGCACTGTGACAAGGTAATAGTACACAATGGGGAAATGGTGATAGGGACAATGATTAGGTACTTTAGTGAAGGAATGAAACAATCTTTCTGAACACTCAAATCGTTTAAATTCAGGAAAAAATGTTGCAACATGTTACAACATGACGCCACTTCCACGATTGTGTACAAAGTCTGTGGAGAGTCACGAAAATGTTGTATTTCCTAACAAAATTGGAAATGTTTCTCAGTCCCAGTTTCACGTCTTATCATCATTTTTGCAATTAATGACCCTCATTTAGATGATATATGAAGAAAAAAGTGGCGTCAGGTTGCAATTTTTTTCAGAAAAGACATGAATCTGGTTGTGATTAACATTTCCAACTTAGTTAGAAAATACTTTGAAAATGCACTCGACTCTCCATAGACTTTGTAAACAAACAAAGAATGGCGTCTGGATACTACATTCTTTCCAAAAAAACTTAACAAAAAGGACAATCAGTGGATCAGCGGGGGCGGAGCGTTTTTCAATCGGGGGGGGGGGCACCAAAGAGGGGCACTCATCCAGAAAAAGGGGCACCTTTAGTCGGTGTGAAAGTGAGAGCCCTTCGGCCTCCGCAATGGCGGATCCAGAACACAATTTTTTTATTGGGGGGGGAGGGGGGGCAAAAAAATTTGGTCCCCAAAACGTGGGTCCACAAATTCACGGTGTGGGGTTCAGGGTCCGCTTAAGGGCCCGGGAGAACAATGTATCTTAGATGCTCTGATCTGTGGTGCGATCTGAGGCAATTTCTGACCACTTTAACCAATGTTGGTGAAAAGATGGTGGTGTAAGTGGCTGCCTTTTTGTGACGTCACTAAAATAAGCAATTTGGGTTCGTGTGGTTTTTTTTGGGGGGGGGGCGGCCGTCCTTGGACCTTCAGCACACCGCACATCCTCCGCCCCCGGCAGTAACCTCTCTGGGTCCGCCCATGAATTTGACTAGTTATGTAGAGAGACCACCTTACTTAGCAGTTAATTATTGACCTTCATTTCCATAATTGTATCCTTGTACATCTCATCATTATTATTTGTTTATTTATCAGTATTATATTCAATACATTCTACCAAGATGTTTTAACATGATGTTGGCTCCTGTGATTTATTTACTTATGCATATCATCCCAACAAAATCCGCACATCCACGAAGTGAAAAACCAGAGATAAAAACTCATGAAGAAAATACTCTGGAAAACCCCACGAATAGTACGGATTTTGTTAGACCTATTAAGCTGTCCATTCTCATCATCACATTTGTATTAAAATAATTGTTAAATTAGTATGTGAACTCGTTGCCCGTCGGCGCGCAGATGAAGCCAACCCTTTTATCCCTCTTTATTTATAGCACCTTCTAACTCCTTTCCACCTCCGCGTAGCGGAGTGGTATTCCAGTTGAGAACTTAATTTCGTTCTATTTCACCCGGTTCAACCAAACGAAATATCATTTATGTATTTTCCAAACGAAATTATTGTCTGTGATGAGTGAGATAATTCGATGGGTACTCCATGTAACAAAATCAGTGGTGGTCTTCATTTGAGTGCACAATGAAATGTGGTTCCACAAATGAGCTGCTCACCAAACCTCCTAGTGGTTGGTGTTGATTACATCGAAAGTATGGCATTTTAATAGTTTTTATTTAATTCAGTATATTTCTGTAGCTGTAACACTAATGCGCCTATCAATTGTTTCCCCCACCCCTCCCCCGGGCTGCCCCACCCAAGACGTGGGGATTGTCACTTTTGAAGTGACAAAATCCCCACCCCTAGGGTAAAATTTAAGTGGCAATCCCCGACCATGCCCCGACATAAATACGTGGGGCGTACTAGTAAATGCATTTCCATGTACAACGCCAACGGTAACAATGTAATTTGAGTGACCAAAATCCCCACCCTGGGGCGTGAAAAAGTGACCAAATCCCCAGATCGGACCTGGGGCTGCGCAGGGGGGGGGGGGGGGGGACATTTGCGCATAACACACAGAGAGTGTGTGAATTGGGTGTGTGCACTTTTTGTGTGTGACTCTCCATGTACAGTATGTATTGCTGAACAATGGATCGAATTCATCTCATAGCTCAAAGCATTAATAAGAATCCACACTTTTTATTCCCTTGTAAACCGGACAACAGTTGCAGGGGAGACGTAGTTTAAGTCGGAGAAACTCAAAAGGTGGAGATTCTTTGATTCAAAAGGACTCGGACTCTTCGCATCCTCGCCATTTGAATAAAAGAATCTCCACCTTTTTCGTCGTTTCTCTGAACTTGATGGATCGAATTCATCTCATAGCTCAAAGCATTAATAAGAATCCACACTTTTTGTTCCCTTGTAAACCGGACAATAGTTGCGGGAGGGACGTAGTTTAAGTCGGAGAACTCAAAAGTGGGGATTCTTTCTTTCGGGCGAGGACGCGAATCAAAGAATTGCCAGTGTGTGGATTAGCTGTACACTTTCTTTGACTTTCACAGCCAAAGTTATTCGGCAAAGTAGATATGAAGAAGGCCGCCACGTGGTACATGCGTGGGGGGATGTTACCTGTGGAGTTCCAGCTAGGACGGTTAAACCATCAAATATCACAAATCCTAATTTGGCCAAAAATTAAATGCAACAGGACATTGTAAACGCCACTAATACCCCAAATCTTCAAAATTATGAGCGTTTGAATATTGATTGATGCTCCTCTTACCTAAAAAGGAATTTCTGCATTGTTTGGTGAAATGTCAATTTTGGCCAAATTTCATCAAAAAATGTAAGGCTAACCCCTTAGGGTTTTTTTTTTCAATTTTGGCCAAAAAGAATAAATTGCTTCAAATTTGCAGGATAGATGCCTAAGGGACCCCAGAACACATTCCAATGCGATTTGTGGACACCTATGCTATTGTACATAAATTACGACGAAAATGTGGGGTAAAATCAGTCAAAAATGTTAAATGTTTGCTGCTCAGTACGATACCGCTACGAGCGACCGTTATTGTCGCCCCTTGAGGTACATACCGCTACGGGCGACTGTTAATGTCGCCCTAGAGGTGCATATGACCACGGATACCTCTACGGGCGACCGTTTTTTGATCGCCCCTAGAGGTACATACCTCTACAGGCGACAGTTATTGTCGCCCCTAGAGGGAGAAAATCTGTCAAAAATTTTAATTGTTTTCTTCCAAAATCAACCATTTTTACCCCAAATCTTCAAAATTATGGGCATTTGAATATTGATTGATGCTCCTCTTACCTCTTAAGGAATTGCTGCATTGTTTGGAGAAACGTCAATATTTGGCCAAATTTCATCAAAAATGTAAGGCCAACCCCCTTTTTTTCATTTTTGGCCAAATACTGAAATTGCTTCAAACTTGCAGGAAATATGCCCAATGGACCCCAGAACACATTCCAGTGCGATTTGTGGACAGGTGTGCTTTTTTACATAAATTACGACGAAAATTCGGGAGAAAAGCTGTCAAACATGTTAATTGTTTTCTCCCAAAATCAACCATTTGTACCCCAAATCTTCAAAATTATGAGCGTTTGAATATTGATTGATGCTCCTCTTACCTCAAAAGGAATTTCTGCATTGTTTGGTGAAATGTCAATTTTGGCCACATTTCATCAAAAAAGGTAAGGCTAACCCCTTGGTTTTTTTTTCAATTTTGGCCGAAAAAAAATGAAATTGCTTCATATTTGCAGGAGAGGTGCCTAAGGGATCCCAGAATACATTCCAATGCGATTCGTGGACACCTATGCTATTCTACATAAATTACGACGAAAATTTGGGGTAAAATCAGTCAAAAATTTTAACTGTTTGCTGCTATGCTCAGTACGATATCGCTACGAGCGACCGTTATTGTCGCCCCTTGAGGTACATACCGCTACGGGCGACTGTTATTGTCGCCGTAGATCGAGGTGCATATGACTCAATCAAAATAGAACATAAAAGTGTTATTTTCAAGCTGATAAATGGAAAACAAATTTGAGCTTTTGAACTTTAAGTCTGGATGATATTAGTGCCCTCCAGTACTGGTGCTTTTTTTTTTCTCTAATGGAATCATGTTTTATCAGAAACTCTAAGTATGAAACATAGATAGTCGTATAGTCTCATCGTCGCTGTCTGTCACGGCACTGGGACTCATTTTGCGAAGATTCTCGTCAGATTCATCATGTCTAGTCGTCTACAGAGAGTGATACAGACTAGTTGGTGTCATTTACGGGTGCATCGTCTAAATTAGCAGTGGCACCAACCATTGTTGAACTTCAAGAGCTCAACAACTGCTTTATACGGTGCAAGGTGATCCTCAGTGAGGCCAGACACGGGTCTACCCTGGGGACGTCTCTATAGTCCGAAGTACCATTGGTCTGAAGTCCCATTGGTCCGACGTCCCACTAGTCCGAAGTCCCATTGGTCCGACGTCCCATTGGTCCGACGCCCCATAGGATTAGGGTTAGGGTTAGGGTTAGGGTCAGTCAACCTTAACCAGTGGAACTACACAGTATTATATTTCATCGGACCAATGGGACTTCGGACCAATGGGACTTCGGAATATCGAGACTCAACCGTCTACCCTCGTATCATCATCTTATATTCTGGCCAATTTGCAATAGTCTGGTGTGGTTTGATCAAGTTGTGTCCAGAGATGACCTTGCATTTCTGATCTAATTGCCAGGTTTCAGCTATATAGGTAGCAGCATGTTGACGCTTTGTTTCATAGTAAGTTTTCGGAACTAAGTTTTCCCCCATTTATCCCGCGCAGTGACTTCATTGATCACAACTTTTTTGAACGATTCCGACCGGGAGCATCTATCCTCCCTTTCACCCAGAAAACAAAACACTTGGCCTCCGGTGCCGCCCCCCCCCCCCCCCCCGGCATTCCATGCTCGATGTTACATGGAATTCGTGACCACTGACTTCTTGCAGAATTTGATTAGTTTCTCGGCTAGGAATAATCTCAGACCATCTTTGGTTTTCTTGCGGCTCAAAAAGCTGTGGATTTCATCACCATTGTGTGTAGAAATGTCATCCGACACTACAATATCGGCAAGTGCAACTCTTCGTCAATATAGTGACACGCAGATGAGCTTGTGAAAAATGATAATCGGTAACACATTTGAAGACGCAAACGTCTCTCGTTTTTGGCAACACTTCGAATGTATCAATTATTTTTTGACATCTTTCGAAATAGAATTTTAAATTGGGGCTTGTTTTTTTAGCCGAGGATCGGTGTTTCCC